AGAATACATGAATATCGCATAGGCTCGGACAAAAATGAAAATGTTAGCATGTGAATATGAGCAAATTAATGAGCGTACAAAAAAATTAACATCTACTAATTCTATGATTGTCTGAACGATAAAATAACATGTTTGTATGAGTGATTCATAGTATCGTGAAAACAGTAGTAAATTGTTTGTAGGTATAACAGCGAAATAAATCGTCAAAATGGCTAGAGTAGAATATGACAGAAACTGGTCTGTGATGCTGACAAAATAGTGAAATATGCGAAATATATGTTCTGTTGAGCCGCAGCAGAATAAATAGCATCGACTAGCGACGAGTGAATTCGAATTCAAGTGCATAGTTCCCGTTCGTAGAATAATAATAGTCAAGTCATGAAATGATAACTGCATCGACGGGTGATATTCGTTGCTGCACTGCAATTGATATTAATCATAAAATTTGAAGTCAGTGAACGTTATCGCCTGCGTTATGACAAATGCACCGAGTTATCGTTAAATATGTATTAGTAGAAGAATGACCAGAGGAACAGAATAGTGACTGAGTAGACGAGGTACGTAGAGTCGTATTCCTTTTTGGTCATGAAGCCTAGAGTGGTTTGTGTGGTTTGAGGGAGATGCGCTCGATCTCGTTTGTTACAAAACCGTACCAAGGCATGACAAAAATACCAATACATATGATTAGTGATGGCGACGTATGAGACTGACTTGGATGTGACGAACAAGAGTGTATCTTTGAGAGGCTAGCTCTAAACTCTATGTTCTGATATACCGAGCGATGGGTATAGAATAGAATAGTAGTTGCAGTACTCGAATAGCGTTTTCGAGTGATAAGTGATGCAGAATGTAGTTATGCACGTGGAAGAATAGATAAAATGAATTTAACGGTTACTAATCAGCTAGTTAGATGCATTCATAGACATAATAGGAGGCGATTTCGAAATGAAAAATGTATGTTGTGATAACATAAATTGCTGAGCTCGACTACGTGAATGAATGCAATATTAGATCAAAATGACATGAAAAATTGGAACGAACTCACTTAAAGCAGGAAAATTTCACGTTTTTGAATAGTAAAAATATCCCAATGAGTTCTCACAAAGTGGAGTGCAATTTTCATAAAATGATAATTTGTTCGGTGAGTAATATGATTGCGAAAATGTCATAATTTAATGACAGCACGAACAAGATTAATAATTCCACATTCGATCATGATATTGGCAATAATGTAATAATAAGCATATAATGATAATTTGAATCGTAATTAAACAAACCGATGAATGGATCAATGAGAATGGTAGACATGAGGACAAAATAACATTAAGATAATAAGATTTGTGCATGTCCATGTCGTCCTGCACAGGCTTTGCTGAGTGCGTCGAAATTAGAGATTGAGATGGACCCGTTGAGTGCGTTCGTCGAATGTATCAAGTGCAGAAATCTCTTCATCGACGTAGCTTGCTGCGTTGCGTTCGTCGTCGGCGGGCTTACCACTTAAATGGAGGCCCGTGGATCTGACTCCTGTTTAGAGCGTACGAATGTTCGTTATCACCTTTTCTCGTATATCATCGTCGACTTGAATCGCGTTAGTCAATAACGGAATTTAATAAGTCGAACAACGAGAATTGATTTGTGAATACATATATTTTGCATATGAAGTGAATGAAACAGAGCCAAGCAAAAATGACGCACAGGGAGGATGGCTGGGAAGCCAACTCCATTTTAATTAAGCGTTACTCAGTATTTATAGGCAGACAAAATAAACTACAGACATGTGATGAATCATGGGATATGAAGTGTACACACATATACGCTCATATGAAAACAGTCAAGGCTAATAAGCGAATAATTAACAAGGTCAAAATATGGCTCAAGTAAAATGAATAAAACAGGATGTCCGGAAGCTAGAATAAGGTGTATGGGCTTGCCATAATAACTGACACTACAGAGGACAGCTGACAGATGCATTCCAAGTAAGGACCGGAGTCAGACAAGGCTGTTTACTCTCTCCCTTCCTCTTTCTTCTGGTGGTCGACTGGATTATGAAGACCTCGACATCTGAAGGAAAACACGGAATACAATGGACAGCTCAGAATCAATTAGACGATTTGGACTTCGCAGATGACCTAGCCCTCCTATCACGTACACACGAACAGATGCAGATGAAGACAGCCAGTGTAGCAGCAGTCTCTGCATCAGTAGGCCTCAGGATACACAAAGGGAAAACCAAGGTCCTCAAATTCAAAGCGGAAAACAGCAATCCAATCACACTTGATGGCGAAACTCTGGAAGATGTAGAATCCTTCACATACCTGGGAAGCATCATTGATGAGCAAGGAGGTTCAGATGCAGACGTAAAGACGAGGATTTGCAAAGCAAGGGTCGCATTCCTACAATTGAAGAACATATGGGACTCAAAACAACTTTCAACCAATATCAAAGTGAGAATCTTCAATACGAACGTCAAGGCAGTTCTACTGTGTGGAGCTGAAACTTGGAGAACTACAACAACCACAATCAAGAAAGTACAAGTATTTATAAATAGCTGTCTACGCAAGATACTCGACATTCATTGGCCGGATACCATCAGCAATAGCCTTCTGTGGGAGAGAACAGACCAACTTCCAGCTGAAGAAGAAATTAGGAAAAGACGATGGAAATGGATAGGACATACATTAAGCAAATCGTCAAACTGCATCACGAGGCAAGCCCTCACTTGGAATCCTGAAGGGAAGCAAAAAAGAGGAAGGCCAAATAACACATTGCGTCGGATAATAGAAGCAGATATGAAAACGATGAATTACAACTGGACGGAGCTAAAAAGGATTGCCCAGGACAGGGTTGGATGGAGAATGCTGGTGAGCGGCCTATGCTCCTTCACAAGGAGTAACAGGCGTAAGTAAGTAAGTAAGTAAGTAAGTAAGTAAGATAGTTGGTTAAATCTGCCGTTAATTTCGTTCAGAGAGTTTTGTAGCTTCCGCATGTCAGTACTATATCTATCAGTATCTTCGTGTGTATGAGATGAGAACAGACAGTTGATAGAATTAGTTTGAAACTGACGCTTGGATGGAATTGCGACCGCACATCACAGAAGCGTCCAGATTTGGATTTGTGTCTGGATTAACCAAATAGTGTTTTAGTAGTAGTTACTTGTGATTCGTAAGTGCACAACTTTTAGGTCTGTTACCAAGTTATATTTTGACCCTCGTAATCTATACAATAGATCTTCGGTCTCTTCAGTGGTACAACCCAGTTGCCATAACCGAGCATTTCCCATCAGGTAGTAGTCGTCACAAAGATTAAGTGATTTTCCACCCTAAAATTTGAAAAACCACTATATTGTAACTTGGAACAACATATATAGGCGAACAGTATTGTTTTCGATTAGATCCTCCTGAGGCTATGCATATTAAGCCAATCAAAGCAGTTAATGAGTCAATAATCACAGCGGAACAGATTACGTAAATAAACATAGGTGAATAGTACAATTTGATAAAGTGGTGACAGGTGTACAAGTTGTGATAACAATAATAATAGGTCGAATCAACGTTTTATATCGCGAAGTAGGTCAATGATTAGAAAAATAAAGACGCTGAAACAACATTCATAGAAATTATAAGATTACGTAACATGAAGTGTTCAGACAACTGGGCAGTGAAGCGTATATAAAAATAGGTGAGAGGGGGTGAAGAAAAATAGACGGTCAGAGTATAAAATGTAACAATAAATAAAATTATTTACTGAGGCCAAGCGAGAGACAAAGGTGTCACGAATTTCTTATGAACACAAAGATTTCGAGTTGACTGGAATTCCTATAGCTTCTGCTATGTGTAAGGTACGAGATCGAAACCCACAAGAGAAACCAGTAGGGATATGATAAATCACCTCAAATGATCTATTCTGTTTGCTCCGTGTCTGGTATCGATCAAGTGTGATAGATCAGAGCTGCGTATTGTCGTGACTGTGCACTCCCCCAACCACGAAGGGAGGTGTTCACTAGCTCGTTGGCTCAGTTACTTGGTAGTGTGCTCAGTGTAGCTTTCTCAGAGTTAATGTTCACTCTGGGACTCGAACTCAGTACCGTTCGCCTCAAACGCCATTGCGTTATCCACTAAGCTACTGAGTCCTGATAGCCACTTGCTCGTGCAATGGGGTGAAGTTTAATTCACTTGGTATTGTTTTACTTGAATCTTCCCATTGATGTTTTAGGACTGGAACTGATCAGTCTCTCTCAGATGCAGGCACATCCAGCTGACGAGTCCCAAATAGGACGAAATGCGCGTCTTGGATTCCACTGATAGCCACTATCCATCTTTGCTTAGAGATAGGTCAGCTGCGTCAAAAGTTCTTTTAACTATTCTAGTCAGTCTATCCTGTAGCCCATGGTGATGCAGCTGGCAATGAGCTAGGATAGCCTTTTTTAAGGCATCGCAAGGTTCAGAAACATATAAGGTGAAACGTACCTTTTCAACTCGCGCCGTAGTGCCTTTACTCATGTGGATCTGTCACTCCGCGTTCATGGAAGTTACTTTCTACGTAGCGGAACCAGGCTTCGATGTTATTAATCCAGAACGGCATGATTTGAAATTGAACTGCCGTTGGAGTTTGAATATTCAACTTTTTTGGTTTCTGCTCCGTCATAATGAGGATGAAATACAAAAACGAGAAAAAATTCAAGGATACCAAAATAATATCACTACATGTAAAACTAGAAAAAATAAAAAGTCTAAAGTTAGAACACAGAACAGACAAAGTTTATTGATGAGAATATCAGATCACACCAAGCTCATGAAACAGATATCCATCTTTTGACGTTTTCTTCCGTGATGCCTTTATAGTCAGAGGATACCAAACCAGTCAAATCCAACGCCAGAAGTGAAAGGTTTAGAACGTATGTTTGAAAGGTTGTCGATATACTAAGAAGCATATAACTCAACTTGACTTGTGAAGAGATTGTAGTCTTCCTTTTTGATGTCTGTTCTGGTGATTGTTTAGTTACACTGAGGATCAACATTTTAAATTTCACATTTGTTATCACTTGGAGTCATTTGATATTATTTGCGTTCATAGTTTACACACTTCACACTGTGTTTACAGAAAAGACAATAAACGTTTAGAGATTTCAGCCCGAAAGTGAGTGAAACAACTTCATTTTTTCAAATTTACTGACTAAGAACCAAGGAAATTAACATTTCAAGTTATTTTACTTGCTTTACAGTACATTTAAAGATGATAATAGCACACATTAAGGCAAAACGTTTTATGTTTAATTCGGGGATTTGGTTGCACGGTCGACGATTAATTTGTATTTGGATAAATGTTATCTCAGTTCTATGGATGTCACTGAAAATGCAGAGAACTGAGAATATTTTATTGTTATTCTGAAATTCCTTTGGTCAAGTGTTCATTTTTTTTTACAGTAATTTCAGTTATTTTTTGCAAACTACGCTTACAACGTTGAAAATGATGCTAATTCTACTGAGGAAAGCCAAGTTCCAGATTTATGGTTGAATGTGGTTTCAAGCGCATAGCTAGTTCGTAGGTTTTCCCTATGCTTGAAAATTTTTCATGAGTCTAATATAAGCCGATCAAGTGCTTGAAATACTAAGGCTTTTTACTGTCCGTGTGCGTAGACTTCAGATACATCGAGGCATTTTAAGGATGAAATACGACATTAAGCAAGCACTTATGTCTTAATCGCTTAATTTATTACTTCATATCAAGTCGGTAAACTAGCTGTACTGCATGGTTGTCGGTATATTCACAAAAGGACTTTGAATAGCAATGAAAATTATGAATTATTAGCACCCACACATAAATAACACACTGGTGAAAACCGCCTCGCGGAGAGCGGGATCGTGGATGCGCACTGCCGAGGAGTCCCACAATAGAACGAAAAGGTCGTACAGTGCTTCCAGGTTTTCCATGATGGTCTAGCTTCAATTGACTGATGATTTCAATTATTGAAATTTCTAAAAAGTCCCCACAAAACCCCTTCTAATATCTACGAATAATTGATGCGCATCCGGCATTTGTCACCTTTGATGTAGCATTGTAAGTACTAATATATTTACATATATGCTTAGCGAACCATCAAAACGTGATAGTTTACACATACTGGCTGTAAAGTTGAGCCATAAGATAGTCAGCGGTTGGGAATAACTACTAGAATTTCACTTTAAATTATTTGCCGAACTCCGTTAAAGTAGTGTAACAATAAAACAAGAGAAATGTAGTGTTATTGCTATCTTTGTTACATATCAGCAGAATGTTAAAATCAACAAACTAACGAAAGTTATTATGGAAACACATGTACTTTTTTAGCACACAAATCAAACTATAATAAAATGGATTGGATGGATACCTTTTCGTTACCAATGTCTTCCTTACTGCTCTCAATAGTGCTGATAATCGTAATGTACACTATCACTACTCAGTATTGTGGACAAATAAAAGTGAAACAAGTTCAATTCACCGACAATCAGTCTGTGATAATTAACGAAAAGGTAACCATTGACTTTTTTCATACTAAAAACAAGTAAATCATGAGATTTCTATTCAATTAAACGAACCTTATTCCTTGTTGAAACATCACTTAAAAATGATGCAAATCTGAGAATATTAAAACACTTCCATTTTATTGATCTAGCTAGACTCCGGTATTACGCTACTGTTGTTTTGTTGATATTTTCAAATTTATCTCGTGTTTGGGAGGAAACCAGTGAACATTTAGTAATTGCAAGACAATTACGTTTACAAAGACCAAACGAATGTCAAAATATAATAAAAGAACAAACGCATTCCCGCCTTCCGAATGAGTTGGTACTTATTGAATGTTACTACATTTCTACGACTTAGATAAGATGTGTCGTAATTTTCAGGCTGTAATGTGTTTATCAAATAAAATGTCTAAGATATAATTTAAACTACTCATTATAGTTTGCATGGAATTTTATTTTATAGGGGTTCAATCTGTGACATCTAGATTTTAAATTTTTTCATCAAAAAGACATGACATGGTTTCATATATATGTACGGATACATGTACTAAAATGTCCATTTCTTTGTCACTTCAAAAATATTTCTAGTTTTTTTTTTCATATAATCGGTCCTAATATTCAGTAATTTATGAAGCAAAGTGGTTTACATATTTTCATCATGTCAAATCTCAGTATAAAAACATATTCTTTACTTTGTTATGACTGAGAACATTACACTATTTCAAAATAACTAGCGTCAATACTTACTTTAAACAAAAGCTGTAGATACTTTAGTAGTTTTTGCTGTGACTACACGCCGTTATTTTCAGAAGAAATAGAAGTTAATGGATGTTTTATCAGATAGACTAAGAACATCATTTCTAGTTACATAGAGATATTTAAAAAAAGGAATAGCCAAAAATATTGTATAGTTATGTACTTGAAAAAATTCTCAACGTTCTTAAAGCCTAATTTGTCCTGCCAAATTATTCCAAATATACTGACATCACGACCTCAGCATGAATTTTGAGTTCAGTACTTTGTGCTTGCTTACAACTTAGACTGTTGTACAAATAAAACATTTGTGCGATTTCTAAAACGGTCTTGTAACTGAGAGATGGGAAGTTAATTCGAAATATGCCGAAAAATTCAGATTAAAAACTGAATAGCTCAGGTTATGAGGATTCTGTTAAACTACTTGGTATAAATAACTTTACACAAAGTAAATAAAGAAACTATGAATTACATACAAAATAAGCTTGTAATAGCTAAATATACTATAACTGTGTTGTACATAAACCACGCCACAAAAATGTAGAAATGTTTTCATTCAAAGGCTTAATAACAAGTCATGATTTGTAATTTCATCCTAGAGATGCCGAAATTTTGATTAACTATGAAAACTGGTTGTATAGTGCCTTATTTGCTGTTTTGTTCCGAATGACATTAAGCTATTGAAGACAGGCCTATGAAGCAAGCTAAGTTTATCGGATCTTTGCTAGTAACAAAAAAATTTGAAACTACTTTGGGAACGGTGCTTAAATTGAAACCAATTGATTGAAAACGTGAAGCTGCTATGATGATCTAAAACTACGATGTTACCATGTTATTCTTTAGAGGATGGATTTGTCGATTTGTGTTAGAATATTATTTTTTTGCTCGTCTTCCTTAGAATGAAGATGCTGCACAAGATTCATTTTCTATTTATACCAAACTTTGATTTTTCATGCAGGTTTTGATGTAAATATCAACAAAATCATCGTGATAAAAATAAGGCTTTTCGTCACAACAGTGTGATAGACTTTTTATATTTTTTTGATTGAGATCATGAACTGATTGATGTTAGACCACCGTTGGAAACCTGGGAGCATGGTAAATTGAGTGTGTGAGTGAAAAATTGATCAATATTAAAATTCCAAAAAGTAGTATACCATTAAATTTGCCAATGTTTTTCTTTGCTACGTTTTAGACAGGATTAAGAGCATCTGTTAGAAAACTCTCTATTATCGATGATGTGCAACTAAATTCCCCATTTGATATCTTTAAAACAGGATTAAGAAAGTCAAGTGAGTAAACAGTTTATTTACGCAACTACCTTGATTTGTTAATGGTTGAGTGGGTAACCATTAGAAATTCTCCGCAATTTACCAAGTAATTTCTGACGTCAATTAAGAGGGTAACTTGAACACATAAGATTTCTGACCAATATTGAGGGTTGAATTTTTTTTGTCCTACAAGACCCTTGGCATTAAAAACATTTTAGTGCAAACTATACGGTTTAATGAGTTTGTATGTATCATTACCAAGGTTTGATTTGATAATTCCGAATGAATTGAGCATTCGATAGATTGTTATAAATAAATAATATGTTTGTAATATCCCGATGAGCAGAAAAATTCGATTTCCTGACGTTTCGTGACTTAGTCTAAGCCAGGTCTTCAGAGAATAAATAACCGAATTAAACTTGGATTGATTTTAATTTGGTTATTTATTCTCCGAAGGAGTGGCTTACACTAAGTCACGAAACGTCAGAAAATCTAATTTTTCTACGCATTGGGATATTACAAATATATTATTTATTTATGTATGGTTTAATAACTTACTCTTACCGTTTCGCTGAGTCAAACTCAAAATGTTAATCAGTCTAGAAACATAAGATCATATATCTTACTTAACACAGCCGCAAGTAATCAAAGGATCATTGATCGCTCTAAAGCCCTACATAAACAATTGTAACTCGAATCAATTATAATAGATGTAAGGATAAAGCGGTAAGAAAAAGTTGTCGGGCATCAACGACAATGAGCTTGCATCCATATTTCATTTTCCTCTATCTCGTATCCGAAAATTTTACAGCAGTTATTATGTACTCAAGCAGTCAAATATGGCTATTAGTTGTCAACTTTAAAACTTGAAATATTCTTTGATATAATTCACTTAGGAATCGGATAAAATGCTTTATTTGTATCAGATTGATACGCAAACATCTGATAAAATTCTGTAGTACAAAAGGTACTTAAAATTCTTCAGAGTTGATTGTTCATGGATTATTTATTAAATCTGAAAACTGTGATATTAAATATGGGTGTAGAGCACGTAGTTCATATCTTTCTTAAAACCAGACTAACATTATCTTAATAAGTGTATTCGTTGAGCTTAATAAATAATTTGATCATCAATTGATTAACCCATAATTAAGTACCAAGTGGCCTCCAAATAAATAGGGTAAATTACTTAAAGCTGATTACGGATGAAAATTACGCTTCATATGGTTTTTGTAACAAAAATACAAAGTACAGCAGTATACTGAGAGGTATGCCACACAGTAAATACACATTAAATAAACGGATCTAAACATTATCTGAGGATAGGGTTTAAATAAAAAACGGTGAAGATAAACTTCGTCAGGTTGAAAGATGCGTCTTACTATTTAAGTGGAGCACAAAATATCACATCATAGTTGCTACTACCTTCTATTGCGAGGCATGCCTAATGACTCTTAGAGCCACTGAGTTACACCATGTTTAGGAACTAGTCAGCAAAAGCGTGCACTACCAACAAATCTTAGTCATACATAACCCTTCATTTTTATATAGCAACGCATCATAAAATGAATCTAAATACACTTTTTAGTATCAGAAAATAATACTAGGAAATGGATCCTCTTAGATGTAATTCGTATAACATATACAGGTCACCAAAACTGGTGTTCCAAAATAGAATCCATCGCTGATTGATAATTGACACTAGCTCAGTATGATGAACAGTAATATTATTCACATAGTGTTTTCAGGCACTCAAATAGCCCTTCGGAAAAATCCAAGAATCGTAGACGGAGTCTCAACACATCATCAGCTCAGAAGGTTACACTTCACAGACTGCTTGAACTACACCATTATAATTCTTTACTTCTGACGGTTGTCAAGTAGAGTTACTTTTCTTGTTGTCATAAAACCTTCTGACTATTAAGTTTTGTAGTCGGTACATAGGTTTTTTTGAAATTTTCCAGATGACCGACATGAAATCGTTTAGGAAAGACTGATAAGGTTCCAAATCTTGTTAGTAGCTAGTGAAAATCCAGTACGTTTGAGTAAAACCTAGTGATTAGCCATAAATGATTTTAGTCGAAAGTTTTACTGCGCCTCACTCACAAGACCAATCTATATGTATTATTTTAAGTGCGTCGATAGCCAATATTCAATTTACTTCGAATTGATTTCTAGGGAGGGAGGGATGGAAGTTATGGATAATTTAATAACAAGCTTGTTGGCTGATGAAACCCAATATTGGTTCCACCAAGCCTATCTGAATGTCCTAAAATATATGCCAGCTTTGAACAAATCTGTATCACTAATAACGGACTGCAGTATAACCTACCCGAATATGATTTCAAATTTCATATGGAAGATGGAAACAACAGACTGATAATAACTGTGCTGGAAGCTGATACTGAGTACAAATTGGTTGTGATTTGAGTGAATCTAATAGACTCTTATTCGTTCCTTTAATATGAAGTAAATTGCTACCTGGACGGTAGAACGGCCTCGCCACATCGATAATCAGAATATTAAATAAAACGTATGCTAGGTGATTCCAGGGAAATTAGGATTTATTTATTTATTTGAACACACAAATATTGGTACAATAGGGCACCAAATATATATGCGCCATACAAAACAATGAGAATTCGAAGAGAGAAAAAAGAAGGTAAGGAGCGTAAAAGAAAAAAAAGAACAACAATAACGGCCACAGATTAGTGTAAGGTAGTGCAATAATAATAATAATAATAATAATAATAATAATAATAATGGGGGACACGGAACAGTACAACCAGAAGAATTCTTTCAGCTAAGGAAGATACAACCGCTTTTTATGAAGAAAGTAAAAGAAGGTTACAGCAGGATTGCCACTGGCTTTTATTCTGAGCCATATCTGATAACGTCTCTAGCCACCGTGTTGCACCATCTCTCGGACCCCAGCCAGGGAGTCGTGAAGGACCAACACAAGCCAGACCTTTGCAGCTTTCTTTTATACCACGACGCCGTGTCATACACTGACCACCTTTCCGCTTCTAACCAGTCCCAGCGTCGGCAAATAATGCACGACGTGGAATTCTCTGGGACGACATTCGTAGAACGTGTCCAAGCCACTGAAGTCGATGTTTCAAGATGGTGACACCAATTGCATTATCATCTCTGTGCCCGAACACACGATGCAGAACCTCTGCATTACTAACATGGTGTTGTCACTGGATGTCAACAATCCTAGGGAGACAACGATGATCGAACACGGAAATTCGTCTAACATCCTCAACTCGGAGAGGCCAGGTTTCGCAAGGATAGAGCAGAACTGCTCTCACCGACGCGTTGTAAATCCAACCTTTTACAGCCAGACTAACGTGACGAAGGCGCCGAAGATGGCCCAGATTGGCATAAGCCACTCTGGCTTTCACTATACGTGCATTGATCTCATCACTCACTCCACCATCGGCACTTATGCAGCTACCTAGATACACGAACATCTCGACTACTTCTATCTGCTCACCATCCAAGGTGAGTACAGGATTAGAATCCTACCAGCCTTGTAGAAGTACTTTGCACTTCGAAGGTGCGAAGCACATACCGTACCTACGGACAATAATTGCCAACTGATTAAGTGCGGATTGCATGCCTTGGGCATTATCGTACAGTAAGACAATATCATCCGCACACTCAAGGTCAAGAAGTCTTTCTCCAGGCAACAGATCCACACCTCCATTACTTACATCCATCAGAGCTGTTTCCAGAATGTCATCGATGGCAAAGTTGTAGAGGAATGGTGAGATTGGGCAACCTTGCCTAACCCCACTGCTCGAATGGAACAATGGAGAGAGGTGGTTGTATGCCCTCACTCTGCCTGAGGTGTTTGTATATAGGGCCTTTAGGATGTTAATAAACTTTTCAGGCACACCCTTATTCAATAGACAATCCCAGCGAACAGTACTGTCAAACGGATCGAAGGCAGCCCTAATGTCGAGAAACACTACGATTGTTGGCCTTTGATAAGTATGACGGTGTTCCAACATTTGGCGGAGGGTGAAGATATGATCAATACATCCTCGACCAGAACGAAAACCAGTCTGCTCCTCGCGAGTCAATCTCTCTCGGGTTTTGAACAACCTACGAAATATGACGGAAGCCAATAGCTTGGACGCAATCGGAAGTAGAATTATCCCCCGATAGTTGTTACAGGAACGACGTGAACCCTTTTCAAAGATAAGGACAACTATCGACTCATTCCATGACGTTGGTACACTTTCTAGTTCCCAGACCTTTGTAAACAACACAGTCAGTTCCTTAGCCAGAAAGTCACCACTATCTTTAAAAAGGGTCGGAGGTAAGTCATCTGGGCCCGGTGATTTGTAGCGCTTCAAAAGTTGGGGTTCCTTGCGGAATTCCGCCTCATTTGGTGGATCAGTCGTCACCAGCCATGGAGGGCAGGACAGTCTGACCGATGTTGCCGGAGCAGCAGGCCAGTTGAACTGCCCTTCGAAAAATTCTGCCCATCGTCCAAGACGTCGATGGATGTTGGTGATTGGCATCCCGTCATCCTCACAGACTATTTCGCTCACACCAGACTTCTTGCTGCCAGTGGCTCGGATGAGTTGGAAGAGCTTCCGGTAGTTACCAGATGCAGCTGCTGCCATTTTCATGGCGTCATGCAGCTGCAACCAATGCTCATCTATACTTTTCGGTGGAGCGGTAGCTAGCTTAGAAACTAGCTCGGTTCGATACTCACTTGCAACAGAAGTTGCAACCAACTTGCTGGCATCAATCCTTTGGCGACGGTCAATTCGTTGGCCACTGAAAAGTAAGGTAAGATTGGCGCAGACCAGGGCATGATCAGAGTCCAGATAGGTACTCCAAAAGGAGCGGCAGTCTTGTACACAACCACGCCAGCGGTAGCTGATCGCGATGTGATCAATCTGAGTCCAGGCTTGAAATGCAGAGGAAGGACGCCAGGTAGCACATCGGCGATGACTATGCCGGAAGTTAGTGCTAGCCAGAAACAGGTTGTGGTCTGTGCACAGTTGCAGTAGACAGTCCCCGTTATCTGTCCTGCGACCAACATGTCCCCATCGGCCACCTAAACGACTCTCTTCTGTGTCTAGACGCCCGACCTGAGCATTCAAGTCTCCGGCTAGTATTACAATATCTGTCTAATGAACTTTCTGTAAAACTGTTAGTTGGTGGTAAAACTCATCCTTAGTGGCATTCGGGCTGCAATCTGTCGGAGAATAGGCGAAGATGACGAAAAGACATCGTTTCTCACGCCGATTTCTTCTCACTTTGATGGAACTTTCTAATCTAACAGCACATAACCGACTGTTAATGTGGATCCAATCGATTAGTGCTGCCTCAGCTATAGCGCTTAGTGCGACACCAATGCCAGCAAGACCAGACGAAGATGCCACAGGGTCCCCGGATAAACGCACGTAGAACAAGCTTTTTGAAGCAACAGATGGAGAGTGAATTTGTAGTACTTCACCAGAGTCTTGAATACGGGTCTCGTAAGACAACAGACGTCGATACTAAGGCTTAATAAAGATATGGCCACCCCTATCTGTTGTCCGACCTGCATAAATGTGTGACCGTTGAAGGCAGCCAGTTTGGATGGTGCACGTGGTTTCAGAACAACTGCTTCAGTATTCGTATTTGGTGGTAGAATTCAATTTTCAACCAGTCAGTGACTCGAGAACGCTTAGATAGAACCGAGTTTCGACCATAGGCGAGCTGCTGTATAAGTCGAAAAACAAGATACATAAAGTGGGAATAAAAGAGAGTGAATAAATGACGTAGTAAATAATGTTAATAATAATAATGTGAGTTGTTTGACTGTTAATCGAAGCAAGTATGGTATTTTCCGTAAGTATCGTCGTTTCATTCTGTTTGTGTGGCTTGGATTAATTCTTAACCAAATATCAAACGGTTTTACGAATTTTCGAGATGTTAACTCACTGTAACCTTGGATCGTTTGGTTAATGAATACCAAAAGGCACCTGAGAATTATTTGTTTGATGTTGGTTATTCCTCTTTTTTATTGAAGTGAATATTTAAAGTATTCAAGATATTATTCAATATACTTTAATGTTTGGAGTTTCCTGCCTTATGTTTTTCTTTGTTTATTGATTAGGTTTATCTTTACTGGTTAGTAATTAATATTAAAGCTATGGTTAGTGTCTAACAAATAATACTAATGATGTAAACAATCGTTATTCTTATATCTTAAAGTTCAGAAAGAATAATTAAGCAGACCATATTACAAAAGTTTTTAAATTTAATATCCCCGAACTCTTGACCATTTAATCTGCTTACAGCTAAGACGAGAAGATTTAAATCTTCGTTTTTATCACATAAAAATCAATGTCAGGTTACATGCAGTCTGACATCACAAGGGGTCATCTTTTGCATAATACTAACGTATGCTTCAATCAGTTTCATTGCTACTTTCAGAATGTCGTGTGGTCCATTTTATGGCGTCCTCATAACAAGTTGATAACTTGGCTTTGACGTTTGTACGTATCATTGCAGAAATATTAGATGTTTGCTCTGTCTAGTTCTCATAACTCCTGTAAAAGAATGTGTTGTTATTTTAAATTCTATAATTCCACAATGACCGTGTGAAAATTTAGGCGAATAAACTGCATTCTATGCATGATATATCAACTCCATCACTTGCATCAATTTTCGGGTTATAAACACTATATTACTTTATTTGGAAACAGGTTTCTAAGATTAGATGTTTTAAGATATAAACTTTACTCAAGACTTCATCTTGAACTTTTTTTGTCACAAGTTTGCAGATAATCGTAAATCAAGATAAACAAAAGGTTAATTTGTAGATAGCTGTAATATATACATATAATAGAAAGTCATTTGTTTGTTAGTGTTACTAGTATAGTAAAATAACACTACAAAAACTTCAAAGCTAGGATATTCAAGAGGTGTTTGACAAAAAAGTAAATATAATAGCAAATACATAAAAGGGAATTTATATTTTGTGTTAAGTAAAAAAATATTTTAAACTGGCTCTTCATTCGTACCGTACTATGTAATCTTCTTTTAAGTTTTTATTTCTAAGTGTTATTTGTCATAAAGATAAGAATAATTTCCATCTTCCTTAAAAATAAACTTCTGTCTTATTCCAAAGTGAATAAATGAATATGATTCTAGAGTAATGGTATTTTTCGAAATCACTTATTACTAACTGTGAATTTTATTTATAATATTCAGAAGATAAATGTTGTTTTGGAATGCGCCAATCATTCAGTTCTCCAATTAAATGGATTACTTATGAAGAGGTAAGTATAATAACGAAGAGGAATACTATGATTTCCTTAACTTAACATTCAGGTTTATGAGAAAATTCAACAGTTTGGATCAGCGTTAACGACACTGATGGAAGAAATCTCCATGATTAATTTTATTGGAATTTATGGAAAAAATTCTCCAAAGGTAAGTTTTAAATGTGATTACGAGACAGCTAATTAAGCAATCTACATTTGATAAAATATTTGTCTAGCCAGTAAGAGGAAATGAAATGTAACCAAAATGAGATTCGGAGTTAATATATTTGAAAGTGTTTATAATCTACAGCCGGACTAGAAAGCATAGATGTTTCCAGGAAATAAGATGCTATTAAAAGCCTAATGTTTTAGGGAAATATCTAGAAACTAACTTAATTTTATCACTGTTTTATGATAATTCAGGATGCCAATTTATTTCCGTAAAACATAGGGAATCGATGAAAAACAATAATGTTAACTTGAAAACTTATTAGGTGGAAAGCGATATGTTTCATTTCCTTCTATTTTAAGCGTCTAGGAATCCGGATTTTGCCGAGAAACAACTACTGAACGAAAATCATATGCTCATCTTTATTATAGCTAATGTAGAATAGTACAAAATATGTCCCCTCAGCAAACTAAATGCGATAGTAAACAATATCACATATTATAAAGACCATCTTTTGTGTAGAAGTTTAAAGTTAATCATATTACCATACCATATTTTGGCTAGTTTAAAGTAAACCGATATTTAAAAGGAGTATGAATGACATTTACGAACTGAACCGTATCAGTTACCAATTTTATTACATTAAACCGTTGAGTTTTAGGGGCGGTAAAATAAGTTAAGGAAAAATATTTACTAGAGTTATGCAATAACAAATGTGACCGTAAGTCCTACTGTAAGGATTAGAGGATTGTGAACCATGGGGGTTAGGAACAACAAATTATAATTCTTCGAATTATTAACATCAATAAACATAGAAATTAGTTAGTACAGATATAAAAGCTATCCGTCGATTAATGGAGAATACTTTTGCTGTGTTGATATGAGATGAGGTAGCATCGTTTAATATTTATTCGTGCACAGTTTTACGTTGATGATGACTGACAAACTGTTGGCAATTTTGTCAGTATTGGAAATGATTTGGATTATGAGATAAATAACACATTCAAAAGCTGATAATAATTTCTTAAGTGCATTTTTAGCCTTAATACTTTGAAAAGAACAAAAGTGATTTCCCGAGTTCCGGCATTTCCAAGTCCCGAATAGAAAAACAATCGTGTATATAAGATAACGTGATTTACCGCGCAAAACCAAATTTGTTACGTTCCTTTTTGTATGCTTTTCTACCCTGAGGGATGTCTTGGAAACGTCATTTGCTTAGATAGTTCAACACTGTGAAAGATATTTATTACATTAGAACTATGTGGTGGTACATAATTTCATTTTTGTTTGTAAAGATGCTAATCTGAATTTCAGTATAATTTATAACATTCTTACACTTTGAATGCTGCTTTTGTATAAAGTCAACTCAACAAACCTAGTTAGTTGTAAGATATTTTCTAAACATTATTTCATCGTTAAATTAAAATACACAGACCAAAGTATTTCCAGTTTTCTGTTATTTGGATGATCTTTAAAATAACTTACGTAGATAATACATTTCTATTGAAATATTTGTCACTGAAGGTTTTAGTCATATGTTCCGAAAAAGTTTTTAGATTTTCATATAGTATTATTCTGAAAGTTTTATATGGTCATAGTTCATTTAATATAGATATAAAATGAGTTATAATTTACAAATGTTGTTCAATGGTCATTTATTTTATTTTTCTTTCTAAAATAATTTTACTTCGTATATATACACATATCTAAATACTTATTGAGAAGTTTGTTAAGTCATTTTAAACCTAGGTGCTAAAAACTAGATACTTAGTTTCTTTAAGATCTAAAAATCTGTGCATTCCATTAACTTAATACATATGCCGTGAATATAAAGTAACACTTTAGATTAAGTCACTTTCGTCAGAAAATATCGTTCTGTGAAATGAAATATTTTCACTTTGATACCATGAAAATTTCTGTAAAAAAGTTTGTATGTAAAGAGAAATTTTATCTATTTATTTTTAAAAAGTCTACAACTTATGAGGACAGCTGTTTTTTAAACTGCGTTTACTGACCGCTTGATGCAATCACAAACAAAAGTTTTTGTAACTTTGTGAGGTATGAACTTGACAGAAATAATCATTTGTTTACCTTCATATTTAGCTATTTATTGTTGTAAATAGTAACGCATCATATGCAGTTTCCTTATTTCCCGTTTTTTAGTGGGTGATAGCACAGTTAGCTGGTGCTGCATACTCGTTTGTTACTGTACCGTTATACAGTACTTTTGGTGATGAAGCTATAGTTCATGTCATTAATGAAAGTAAGTAATTTGAAGAATTAGCCTTGCAAATACGTGTATCCTATGGAGTCAAAGCAAATTTTCGAAACTGGAAGTCTTAGGAAGAAATTAATAATACATCTAAAGCTAGAAATCAGTAAATTATAATTTCACGTGATTGTCTTCTTTAATGAAAGTTTTTATTGTTAGGCAGCTGTAAATAAATATGCAAAGTCTGTCCAACAAATGCTGTAACTAAGATCACGGGAACGTTGTTTTGTAAAATCTATAGAATTTTGGACCTAACGTCCTCAGACTACATCTTCCTTACATTTTTAAACACACACATGTCCTAATACTCATTTTTACTTTACTGAACATACCTGGAAGTCGTCAGACGTCAGGTTCATTGTTTTGCTTTTCATAGTCTCACACATCCTCCTAGTGCTGGAATCCTGTTCCCAAACCATTCACTAAAGATTAAATAACTAGTAATAATTCTAAAATGTAATTATGAATAGGAAAGCACAAGGAAAATCACACGTTTAATGTTTTCATCAACATAGGTTACCATTAGATTATCTTGATCATGATTATCACCTGCAAAAACGCATTTTTATTAACGTTTTATATCCATAAACATCCACTAACATTGGTTGAGTTTCGTAAACACTTTTTCACAAATTTTGTTTAAGGTCTAATGTCGTGTAGCGTATATACTGGACAGATTAAGTTGTTTTTAATCGAATACTACAATTTGCTTAAAAAATGAGACAACGATAAAATGAAACATAAACATATGTAGGCAGATAATATCAATTATATAATATCAGATTTTATCATTATTTATTCTTCTAATATTGTGGAATCTACTTGATTAAGTGTGAAAACATGTAGTTACATGTAAAACACTCAGTGAGCAGTAGTTTAGCCATCACTCAACCAAAGTATTTTTATCAAGTAATTCCAAATACCCATATATTGAATTTTTAGGTCACCAAATAAATACTCAGCTATTTTAATTACTATTGACCGTGACAATTATAAAATGAGGCTTGTCGGTTTAATCGTTTTTGAAAGTAAATGAGTAACTTATTATCTATGTCATTATCCGAGATATTGAACGCTAGAGAGAACTGTAAGATTTTGAACCTTGTATGGACCAATGACTTCAATTAGAACTTCCATATATTTGAGTAATAAAAATACATATAAAGGCTGAATTATTTTAACCACGGTCTTTGAACTGAACAAATGTTTAAACCAGTAACTAACTTGGTAACGAACTTTATTATTACTTAATTAGAAATCCTTTTGAATCCTGTTGAGATACATAATTCACTGACATATCTATTGACTCTTCCGTAGATAATTTTTATGTGATATCCAGGTACTGATTCTAAAATGCCTCAAGGATGTCATTAGAAAACGTTCTCACCTGAGTGGCCTTTAATTTCCATGAATTCATAAACAACTGTTATGTAAATAAGTTTACGGTATAAGAGATGAATAAAATAAAACATGTCTTAGGTCCCACCCTGATCCATAATAAAATATTAAATATTTTATCATATCATTGATCTTGTTTGCCTACATATTTCAGTTCGTTGAGGAAAGAAAAACAAGTTAAACGACAGCGAGGTAACATTGGTAACGATCGAAAACAAGACAGAAATCCTTACAAAAGAAATTAAGATCCCCTTTTCGAACTAAATAGATCAGAACAAATTTAAGAACATAATGAGAATAAATCAGATCGGTTCAACTGATGTTTCAACATCGTTATATTATACATATTTGACGAATGTTGGAGAATACTTGCTAAAACTACTCGTACTAATTAATGAGGATTGGTCTAACTACAAAACATTAAGATAAGAATCGATTTTGTTTTTGTCTCTAATATAACTTATGAGTTGAAAGCTCGGTAAATATTTACTCTGGTGTGATTACAAATATCTATAGTGTAAAACATGTACTAAAACCAGTTTATTGTGCTTATATTTCTACATCAATACTTCAAGTCCGAAATAAAAATTATTAGATGATATGAAGTTTGATTAACTCTAAAAAGTAGGTTATAATTCTGTGCATATTGTGTGAAAAGTATAAGATCTGACAATTATTGTAATATGATGAGCTTCTTCAGAAAGAGTAGTACCTTATTACTTTGAAAGCCTTTTTAGTCAAGTGAAAAAGACATTATTATTGCAACCAAGTATATCTGAATTTATAGAATTGACACTTGCAACAGGTTTGATAAACAGATAAATTTGTGATCATGTTTCTATATTTCAGTAGTATTGCGTTCTCTGAGCTGAATTGTTTGATTTCATTCCTCTCATTGTCGTTCCAGACAACATCAATACCTTCTTCATATTTATAATGCTAACATACAATCAAATTATTAGATTTCAGACGTATAGCTCTAGTTCTGTTTTACTAATCATCCAACTTGATAAGAGTATACAATACAAATTCAATCCAACTACAAGATGAACCTTTATTTATCGTTTTATAATCACTACTGAAACCCTATAGTTGATTATCCTGCGGATAAGTACACTTATTTCAAGCTTTATTTTTCTTCCAATTTTAATTTAGCTGAACTAAAAATTATTGTCTGTGACACAATATCTCAAGCTTGCCATCTGAACAAAATCAATCCACATAAACTTAAAGTATTTATTATTATGGAGCCAGACAACACATTCGAATCTTTTAGAAAAGAATGGTCAGATAAAGTTCGATTGTTCACATTTGAAGAGACGTTGGTATGTTAAACTAAATAACAAAAAGCATTTCTTTTATTTGAAAGGAATTAACCATAGAAAACTGGAAGGTTTATGATCATGTCTACGTAAAACCACCATGTCTGGGATTCGTTTTTATTTCTACACAGATTTTCAAGGACTAAAGTTGGTCACTTTCACTTATAAATTACGAAGTAGCGACCATCTATTCTTTAACTTCAACGAATTCTTTCTTTCGGAAAATATCCCCATATAATCAGCTGAGGGATTGTTGATGAAATCATTGTTTCAGAGGACGTACTTCAGCTAAACAATCAATCAAGACTGTGGGGGACCTTAAAGTTAATATATTTGAGTTTGAAACTTCTCAATATTATGCAACCACTATTTCATGCGCTGTCAAACTTAGGGTATTTTAATCTTTTCGTGGAGCGTATTGCTTTCAGACCCCTAAATAGAAATCAAATGGTTCATATATCCACATTTATATTTCGTAACAGTTATTAAGTTTAACTGGTAACATCTGTCTCACTAACGAACTAAAAATTAGTCGTGTGCTCACTTATGACTTTTTTTCGATGTGAATTTGTGAAGTTCAAGTGATAAATCATAACTGGTATATTCCAGCTATATAAAGAATAAGATTGATATTGTCAGTTGTACTAGATCTCAGGAGTTGATTTGATTTGCAAATGTGGATCATTTGACTTAGACAAAATTATCTGAATGCGGAGTGCCCAACTCGAGGACTAACGCTTCTTGAGTTCGATAATGTATAAAATCATAATTGCACGAAGTTGGAAAGTTTTAAGCTATGACACAACAACTGTTTAGTGGTACATATTTTCACTGCTTAGCCAACGGAATTCACCGATCTGGGGTACATAGTGTCATTTTCAGTAGAAGGCATAAATGTGTAATTCTTTTCTTGTCCATTATGCATAAGTTTATTCTTGAACTTAAAACTAGAAATCGCGTTTGTTTTAATTAAGTCATTTTCATTATTCAATTTCTGTCAGGTCATACACTGATGAATTAATGCAAACTCACTTAGATTACCAACTAGAGATATGGAGTATTCGTTTATTAAGACATGATAATATAGTTAAGCGGATTATATATAACATATTATACACGTTTGACAAAAATTTGATATCTCTGTTCACGTATACATGTGTCGTATTCGTAATGCTTATGTAACATAATCAATAAACTTTCAGTTAATTTTAAAGGATAAAGTATGGTTTTAAGAATCCTGATTGTTTATATATATATAACATTGCATTCAGATACGTGACATTGACAAAGTGAACCACTTAATTATAAACACGAACTATTACAGTGTTGTTATATATGATTTTAAGTAATTCAAACAAATCCTAATTCTATAAAATTTATAAAACAAGAGAATTGTAAACGTTGGTATGAGGGAAAAAACCAATAATAGAGTGTTATAACATCAATTAAGTGTTTGTTTTACTATTCATAGTTATGAATACGCTAACTTTTTTTATTAAGTGCATATATACTACTCTATTATTTACACTTTGTATTATAGTGAGAAAAACTTACTTTTAGAATGAATCGATGATCTCTATTTTCAACCAGGAAAGTATTCACTCAGAACAATCAAGCTTACTGAGGTATACTAGGTCAAATACACACTGAATAAAAAAGTAAAAAGTAGCGAAAGATGAGCATTTATTTCGGTAGTTTAAATGACAGAATAATTTTTAGCCAGGTCTTTTGACTTATACTAATTTAATAATGTGACTCTCTTACTACGATAAAGACAAGGATCTGTCTGGCAAAAAATCACAGGTTCGATTTGCAAAATGTAAACCAAGTTGCTTGGTTCATTAAGCTATAAATACCCATGATTTCGATGGTATTTGCAACGTGAATTACATAAGTGAAAGATAATCTTCCACATAAGCGGTAAATCATAAAATTCCAATGAAGTCTCAGATAACTACGATAATATTCACTCTTCTATGAAAGAAATATTTAGGAAGTTCAATATTTGCTATTAATCCACTGAACAAAAATGATGAAAGGCGCCTACTATGCGACTTGGAATTTAACCATGCAGTTTTTGTTTTCAGCTATTTACTTCACAATTTATCCTTGATTTCGTAATGAAGAACCCTAATATTTACTTATATTTCAGGAAAAAGGATGTACTAATCGTTTACCTGAAAAAGTAAGTCAGCAGAACCATCAGTTGGTTACTGTTATATAAACTGTACTTTTCGATATTGACATATTTGAATATAGTCGCGTTAGCGAACCAATTGTTCAGTTTTTTGAATTTGTTTAGAAACGTTGTTGATTCTTAGTATTGAATGAATCGCAACCTAGTAAAAAAATTTATACCAACCCTCGTACATTGCGAAGCGATATTTGATTTGTCGTAGCTTCCACTTCTTAAAGACAGTGATTAAAATGTTTAAAAACCGAGGTTTAAAACGTTTATTTTAAATAAACCAAATCAATTCTTTCTTTATAAAATGCATCATCCTGTGAAAACCTATTAAGTAATTCTGAAATTATTTCAAAATACGTGGAAATCATCTACAAGCTCAGTAATTTCAATATTCGAATTTTTTCTAAGCTCAATAACCATTTAGAGATTGAACAAGTAATGTGTTTGAGATTTACAACTCAAAGTAGTTCTTTGGGGTGATATGATTTTATAGAGTGATGAAAGTAACACTTACATGTAGTACATAACCGTTAGATAGTTTACAGTAAAGATTAGCGTCAAGCGTCACTTGATAAAGCCATTCAGTTAAAATGAATGACATTCCTTCTTTTGAAATGGCACAGTGATTAACTTGATCTTCTTCAGGGCAGATAATTATTAGTAATTTATTATAACTGTAAACTCTTTTCACACGACAACAAAGGCTTGTAAAAATACAGTTTATTACTAGTACATATTCTTGAATATTTTAATTCAATCTCTTGCAAGTTCTGTACATAGATATTAATGAAAAAAAATGAAATACGTAGAACGCTATTAGTCGTTTTTCGATTTGCAGTAATGTTTCCGTTGTGCTGATTCACACATCCATCTTGAAATAGTCAATCGGTCGGACCATAAAGTATATAGTACCTCACATTTCAAAGGGATGATAGTCAGAATATTACAATAATTAAATGATTGTATTAGGAAAATAGTATACCATATAATCATTATAATTTTATTGAAATATAATTTTAAACAGAACTTATCCATATCCATGATTCTCGCTGAATGTCAACAACTGATTTCAATATTTGCGATTTTCTATCATGAAAAAAGTCATTATCCAGTTAAATAATTATTCTTATTTTTTCGTGAAATATGGTTTAAGTAAATTTAAGTCACCATATACCGACTAATGTGTTCTTTTTAAGCTCCTGCTTCTACATTTTATTTTTAGGTCCCGGATGATAACGATCTATGCATGATATTGTATACCAGTGGATCACTAGGTAGATTTATTTATAACACTGGAAATCGACAATTTTCATGTATTTGTAACAAACGAATGTCATTTTAAGGTTTAAAAGCAATTTAGAAAGTTAGAGGACACAAAGTACACCTTAATGTGAAATAAAATAAAATAATCTTAATTCATAGGCTCTATGTAGCCAATTCTAACGACATTTATTGAGATGTGATAAAAAATAATTTTCAACTAGAATAAATTAATATACTGAAGACTAATTAGTGAATCCAGACAGTTAATATCTAATTCACTTTTATTCTTAATTAACATATGATTGGAGAGGATCACCCTGAGTGAAGAAATTTTAACAAATCCATCACCAATTACCGAATACACGAGTTGGATCAACTCAGTGAATTCAAACGTATAAGGAGGTTGAATATAGAAAAAATGTAATTAAGATAAAAACAGATAGTTTTTAAAATAATCATAGACTGATATATATTTAGTTTTGCTTAAGAAGCTCACATTTATAACTATTTTTATTTACAGCTGATAAGAAACTACGAAATCAAATTAATTTACTTGGTTTCGATAACGTTATTGTCCTTACTTACTTTAATTTTGTAGATGTCATTATCAAGATTTGATTTGATAATTTCAAGGAAATTGATCATTGGATAGAGTGTTATCGTTAAAAATAATATATTTGTTATATACCATTGAGATAGTCTTCAGTCATTGATTTTGTAAACAAATGAAGTAGTAAAATAAATGACATTTTTTTTGTACTGCCGATATTCGGATATGAGGTTTGATAGATTATAATACAAACACCATTGTCTGTTAGTAATCTCCATGTTAAAGTTCAAATAAAACAATCTATGTGAGCTGTTCGTTTAAAAGTCAGATATCTGGTAGTCATAGCTTGATTTGGTTAGTAGAAAATTCCAAGTTCCTTCTGTTGAACTCATCTTGGTGTTACATAAAATTTTTAAACTCAAAACTCTATATCTCACCGGTCGTTTTACAAACAGTAACGTACAGTAAAAAGTCATATGCACTAAATAATATAATTCAAACATGTGTCGATTATTTTCGATAGGTTCTTGAGTATTATGATAGAAATTTATTCGACCTGGCACACGTAATCTAGAATATATATCATAATACGTACTAAGTTGGAGTTTTGTATCTCAAATCTTTAAGTAGTTGTTGCTAAGTCTATATCATAAGGAGGTGGACAATTTTTGTTTGTTTTCTTTCTAATTAATCCAATGAAAATCATGAGTGCTAACCATTTATAAAGCCTATGTTAAATGAAGGCACCATAGAGATTTCCATTATCATAATTTACATTTCAAAGCAGTTAGCTGTTTACATTTTGAATAAATTCTCAATAAATTATGAACTTATAACTCTTAACAGTAATTATAACACTGAAACATTACCCTTAATTAGATTCGAAATTTAACGAAGAGCTTATGAAAATACTGTTACGGCCTTAATTTTTAAGTGTCTAAAGTAGTTTCTATCATAGGGTAATATTAGCTGAATAAATACTCAAAATCAAGATACAAAACTGTAGCTTCATTATATTCCATGACTTCTCTGAAGTGCGCACCTATGACGTCATGTGAGGTAGAATCAACGATTTTGGGATCGCCTAATTTAAATAATATTATAGAATCGTAGAGTTGAAATTCAGTGATTGAACTTTAACATTCAAGTAACCGTTGACGTAGTATGGTTATAATTCCGTATGGGATATGGGTTTCTGAATCAGTCAGGACTTGTCTGACTCCACCGATAACGAATCAAGACCGAAGTGGTGAAATTATTTCCAAGTGAGTACGCGATTATTATATCAATATTTTCTTTGAGTTGTACAGTCTTTCATAAAAAGGAATATTACCATGGCCATACAGTATTATCATACTGTATAAAAACAGTGGCGCAGATAAACTATTTTCCTTAATATCGAAGCTACTGTTCAGCAAGAGTATATAAATAGTGAGAATTTGATTTTATACATTTCCGCAGTGATTCATGGTGATCAAACTTTAAAAATTGAATTAGCTGAACCAATGAATCTATATCTTAATTTATGTCATAACAGTTAAAGAAAACAGGAGTATACGATAAATTTCATTGTTCTCATTTTTCATTTACCCTTTTATCCTCTAGGTTTACCCAAAGGAGTTATGATAACAAACAAAGCTTATTTAAATGCCGCAAAGCTAACTATTAGCTTGGCAGAAGAAAATGTTAGTCTAGAATTAATAATAATAATATTCCTAATCTAGTCAAATATCGTATATTTTGAGACATATATATCCATAAAATAGAAGTAGATATATTTATATATGAAGTTAATTGTCTTTTTTACTATTACTAATTGAAAGAAAACGTTTGTTGTTTGATAGTTTTATTTTGAAAGATAGACCCCTTTTGGTTTTATTTAGTACAATTCATAAATTCATGAGTTGGGAAGGAGGAGAATAAATTCAAGGTAACTCCTAAGCATAAAGTTACATAGATTTTCTCTTAACTTCAATCGTCGTTACTGTATATATTGGAGGACAAGATAATCAAAAATGCTTCAAACAGTTAAATAAGAGATTTAGGTGAAAGCAAAAGAATAAGTATCTAAAGGAAATTTTCAAACGATCAGAAATATTTTCTGCATTTACCTGATGACTTATTTATGAATCTCATGTAATTATATTTTGTTAGCTTCAAAACAGGGTTTTTGCCGTTTTCATAAATGATGTTTGTGTCAGTTTCTTACACACCAATATTCCTGACAGCAAAACCAGAGTATTTTGTATTGCTATTAGAAGTTTTATATGTAGGGATCCACTGTTCTTTAAATGGACCAGTTTAACTTTATTACTATAAATAGATTCAGGTTTGTTCGAACGACTACTTTCTGTTTAATTAGGTTGTTTTTCCCTACTGATTAAAATGAGACGTATCTTAACAGATAATAATTATATTGGTTTTCCATAGAAAATTATCAATAATTTGCAATGAAATTGTTCTTTATTTGTATTTATGAACTTTTGACCTGTTTTCATGCTTTTATTTTCATGAAATCATTTGATTGGGACACATCATTTCGAAATATTTGCTAACGGTGTCGATAAATAAGCTATGATATTTGGGGTTTTCTTTCCAAATAGAATACATATAGTTTCATGAAGTTTCTTTAAGTATTTCACAGGAACGGCTGTAAATATGGCTAACATCTGGGTCTTCTTTAATGACTTTCTCTCTCAAAGGAAACTAAATGCTCCATTACCTGTACCTCGATGGTTTCAGATTCAAACGTTTTCAGAACGAATACTATATACTTAGCTGAACTGATCAACTAACAATTGCATCGGCAACCAGTAACTTGAAATAGTAAATTCCTATAAGATAAAATGCTTTACGATCACTGATATCTATGGATGGTGGATTTAAAAAATGGATGAAATCCTGTTAGCGCTTACTTTTTTAATGTAAATAACGTTTTTAAGAACGGGTTTTTTAATGCATTGACTATTATTTAATTATCGGTATAACATCTCCAAACCTTAATCTTCCCGATTACTGCTTATACTCTTGCTACCTCTACCACTACGGGATTTGAATCGACCACTGCATCTCTGTGCTAAGGTGGTGTAGCAACTCGAACTGATGTACGTACGTACGAAGTTCTACGTTGTTACTGACTGACTGAGTTGTGCAGACTGTTGACTTTAAATTGGTATCATGAATGGATCAATGTTAGACCACCATTGAAAACCTGAAAGCACTGGACGGCCGTTTCATCCTAGTATGAGACTCATCATCACTGCGCATTTAATTTCCTTAAACAGTAGAAAACAGCTAAGATAGCATCAACCACTTAAATTTCCATTATTTGTTGGAACTGAACGTAAAGTATAGAATGTATACAAGATTCCCTAAATAACATCATATAACTTGTTTACATTTCATATTCACTCGACGAATATCAAAATGCTTCTCATACTAGTTCACCATTAGACTACCTCACATTTCATCATCTAATACTTTATGTAAGATGATAATTATTTTTCTGTACGACAAATTTCGTTCGAGGTAAAGACCGGTGCCAAACAAGATTGCTCACTCTCACCCTTTCTCTTTCTCCTGGTGATCGACTGAATCATGAAGACGTCAACGTCTGAGGGGAAGCATAGGATACAGTGGATAGCTAGGATGCAGCTGGACGACCAAGACCTCGCTGATGATCTGGCTCTTCTATCGCACATATAACAACAAATGCAGGAGAAGACCAGTACAGCTGCAGATGCTCCAGCAGTAGGTCTCAACATACACAAAGGGAAAAGCAAGATTCTCCGACACAACACAGTATGCACCAATCGAATCACACTTGATGGAGAAAATTTGGAAAATGTAAAAACCCTTACATATCTAGGCAGGATCATTGATGAACTCGGTGGATCTGATGCAGATGTGAAGGCACGGGTCGGTAAGTCAAGAGCAGCATATCTACAATTGAAGAACATCTGGAACTCAAAACAACTGTCAACCAACACCAAAGTCAGAATTTTCAATACAAATGTCAAAACAGTTCTACTGTCTACTGGGGCGGAAACCTGAAGAACTAAGAAAGCCATCATCCAGAAGATACAAGTGTTTATTAAGAGCTATTTACGCAAAATACTTCGGATCCGTTGACCAGACACTATCAGCAACGATCTATTGTGGGAGAGAACAAACCAGATCCCAGAGGAGGAAGAAATCAGAAAGAAGCGCTGGAAGTGGATAGGACGCACATTGAAGAAATCACCCAACTGTGTCACAAAACGAGCCCTCACTTGGAATCCTCAATGTCAAAGGAAAAGAGGAAGACCAAAGACCATATTACATCGAGAAATGGAGACAGACATGAGAAAAATGAACAAGAATTGGATAGAACTGGAAAGAAAGGCCCAGGACAGAGTGAGTTGAAGATTACTGATCGGTGACCTATGCTCCATTGGGAGTAAAAGGCAATACTACTACTACGACTAATTGGTTATTTGTGAGTGAATCGCTATTTTCAGGGAGAACAGTTTAATAACGTATAAATCATTGCTTAACCATGTTGTGTATTTTCTAATGATTACTAATCAAACATAAAATATTAGCTGCAAAATAGATATTATGTACAAAATTTGACCTGGTGATAAAGTCATCTTCAATCCAGAATTATAGGTTTTCATATGGCTGTAGAATTCAGTGTTTACACATTGCTTTTCATATGCAACAAAAAGATGTGCGAATGCTTTTCATTTTATATTTAGACATCCAAGAAAGCTATCACCTTTGATACGAATAATATCGATTTTCTGTATTTCTTGAAAAGAGAGATTGAGCCTAGCAGGTTTGGTTTGATTTCCCTCAGGGTTTTTTTAACAGTAGAAAGCGTATTGAGTATGAAAGCAAACAGTACGCATTATAAAGCTCTGTCAGATTTTGTACAAAACGAATATGATGGAGTTATTGATTATTAGCACTTATATTTTTACGTTTATATTTTATTCTGTTTCAGCACTTTTCAATTGAAGATTTGTCACATGTTTCATTCCTGCCTTTATCACACACGATGGAACAGCTAACGATGGCAAGTTATTAATAAATAATTTGTATTCACATGAAGTTTGAAGGGAATTTACCTGATTGATTACGTTTCATAGAAAACACTATCAATCATGATTACATACATTTGTGAAACTTTTAAATTTGGTTAAAGGCAAATTACAGAAAAATGTTTACATTAGGGTTTCATGGTTTTTGGTTCTTCCAAATCGTCCATGCTTTGAAATCTATTCATATGGCTTTTTATGTTAAAAAATTTACTACCCAAGTTAACCAGTCATAAACGTCCTGGCTAATTTAAGCTACCATTCATTCCCCAAACGAAACAGATTATCTTGAACGTATACGGCGAAGGATAGTAAGTACGCACGTACTCGTCTCTCTAGCTTAAGTGTTAATTGATCAAATATCGCTCGATGAGTCATTCGCTTTCCCCCATATGTATGTATGCGCTTGAATCCAACTAGATAATTCGACTCTGAATTCCCCCCTACATTCGCTTGTTTGAACATATAAGCTTTCCTGCTCAAGTTCACTTGGTGTGCTTGTAGCTTTTTTATCCGCACTACCCAATGATAAACCGTAGTCAGCCTTTCGTGTTGTATTCTGAATTCATAAAATGTTGAGATTTCTTGAATAAGGGTTATCAGTGACTGATATAAGAATCTTAATGAATTATCTCGAAGTTAAGCCACTACAATGTCCTTTCCTGAGAATTTCTTTACGATCGACTCCAGCTTCTCATGAGACTGAACTTTATCGTCTTCGTTGCTATCGTTGGTAGGCGAACAGTACTAGATAACATATATTGTGATCTTTTTTTCTTCGTATTGAGGTATGCTTTGACAATCCTGGATCCATGAGATTTCCGTCCCATTAGTGTTTCTCGTGCATCTTTGGACAGCATCAGTGCAACTCTTTGTGTGTTGAAGGAATTTTCTTCTTGATGAACAAAGTACAACAGCACCACTCCGAAGTTAATCTTTTCTGTCCAGTTTGGGTCCGTTGGGTTTCACTTATTTCGAGCACCTCTAAGTTATATGTCCTCATTTCCGTAATTATTTGACTAGCCTCCCAGGTCTCCCACATTGTCCCGACATTTCATGTACCTATATTAATTGTTGTTCTGGTTGTCAGAAGGGAAATCAACCTCGTGACTACTGGAAAGTTTCGGCCTTCGCCATGAGACGTCATAATTCTTCTAAATAGGGACCTTTCAACTAACAGAGTAGAGTTTTAATGGTTTAAATTGTTTACTCCCGCTAGCATTTTCTTAGCATGGTCGTTTTCTACAGAGTTCGCTAACCTCATCTCCAACCCTCCTTTATCCGGGATTGGGACTGGACGACCGGACTATAATTTTCATTTGCTCATCCTAGCGGTCCCACTGAATATTTAATTGTTCAGTATTTAACTTAAAAAATGATCGAAAGTGAGATTCATTCCACTCAACATTTAATCTAAACACATCTTTAGCTGCATATTATGAGTCATTTAAAAGAGAATCTAATACGAAAGTTTAAAATGTATGGTGATTTTATTGGAGTTAACCTTTCAAAGTAGTATTCAATGTTCATGACTGGTGGATTTTTAAATATAAGTACCAAATAACTTGTTTTCAAATCATCAATAAAATATCTATTGTTTTTCAGTAAGCAAACAGCTTTGCTACTTAGTTAGTTAATTCTTTGGCATGTCTTCATCGTTGGAAAGTATTTTTTTGACAAAGCAAGGGTAGTGCGGGCGTTTCATTCTCTTTCTGTTTTTAATAGACTACTTTATTTGTTAAATCATTATAGATAAGGTTACACGGCTTGTGCAAATGATATATATATATTATATACCGTATGCAAAAATTATCCATAATAAAATCTGCTTTTTAATCCAGGTATTTTAGTTACAGAATAATATTCTTCGTCCTCCAGCAGTAATATTTTTAAAAAAAGAGCTACTATTAACTTGTTTTTAACTGTTTAACTTTATTTCAAGTGACTTAATGTCACAAGTAAATTGGTACTAAGTTTCATTTCATTGCCTATTCTTTCAATTAGATGTTGGCCATGTTTTCTGGTGGTCGAATCGGTTTTCTCACTGATGGTATTGAGTCATTATTTGATGATTTTAGAGATTTTAAGCCAACGTTTTTTTGTTCTGTTCCAAGATTGCTTGTTCGATTATATATGAATTTTTCCAAAAAGGTGCATTCTAAACCAATAATTCGGAAAGTATGTCAATACGAAATAAACAAGAGAATGGAAGAACAGAAACAGTAAGTAGTTATGATAAGTTTAAAAGGGTAACTAGTATGAATACATATATTAATGTGTGTGAATATGAACCTGTTTGTGTTTATCATTCAAACTAAACAAAAGAAATGAAGAAGTGAATATTTAAGTTAGCATTCTATTTGTTTCAATTGAAATGAGATTTTGTCGTGAATATTTCTCAATTTTACAATAAAATAACTTTTATAATAATTACTTGTTGTAGTGGAATATATCGAAGGAATGGAATAATAGATTTCCTATTTTTTCGAGAATTTCGTGAACTACTGGGTGGTCGAGTAAGAGCTATTATTTCAGGTAGCTCTCCAATAGATAGAGATGTTCTTTGCTTCATTAGAGCTGTTTTGAGTTGTCCTGTAAGTCTAATATTTGAAATATTTTTCGTATAAGAATTCGTTTTTGATCTACTTGTTCACACAGAACCAACACTTATTTTAATTAGTACTGAAAATTTGCATTGTTTAAATAGGACCAAAGAATGTTCACCAGGTGCCAATCAAGAGATTATGTAGTAATATTTGTTCAAATCAATAAGATCCCGGTAAAATATTATGTAAGATTATATTTACGACGAATCGAATCCATTCAGAGAACTGACCGTTTGACAACTGTTAATGACAGTCATAATAGAATGGTGTGGATTCATTTATTTCATAAATTACCTTCAGTTTCTCACAACTTAAACCAAAGGTATTAGTTATTTTATTAAAAATTTGTGTAACTAATTCCATCACGCATCCAGTACTCAGACCAAAGATGATATAGGTGTAGACTAATAAAAAGATAGAACTCACAATGTTCTAGGTACATACAACTGAAAAGTCCAAAATAACTAGGGGCATTGCTAAATAATCCAGTTTAGGATTAGGATAAGATTCCCAAAGTCGTTAATTTAATCACGTTTTTCGATTTCAACGTATACAAGGATAAAATTAAAGTACTTTCTGTCATCCATGTAAAATCCCATTAAATAAATCAAGGATTTTGTAGACTCAAGATTCTACCTCAGTGGGGACCATTGTCTCTTGATAATAGACCAACCAAAACACACAATACCGTTGGCTGTAGTAAACTTCAGTCAGTGCTTTATGAAAATATACGTAATCTAAGATCATTGCTGAATACTGTGTGAATATAATTTTTCGATTCTGGAGATTCTTTAGATCCCAATTTTATCAACTAAGGGGAGTACGATTTTACGCAGGAATACAAACATGAATTGATACAGTATATACAAAACATTATGAACATCATTCCTTTTTAGACATTCTTTATCATTCTAATAGCAATCTTTGAACATTGGCTAGGTTAGTGAAGCGTACGGATCGACAGAAACACTTGGCTTAGTATGTAGTACAATGTTTGAAGATATTGATGCATATCATGTTGGAGCTATTTCCCCTGGTGTGCAAATTAAACTAATAGATGTTCCGGAAATGGGTATATTCGTATCCAAAGATCAAATGGGAGAGGTAACTTTCTGTTATATTTCATTAAAGATTTTTGAATGCTAATTAATAACCACGAACTATAATAGTTTCAAACCAATGGTAGGTCAGTTTCGCTGAGAATTTTAATACATAGCTATTTTACGAAAAAAATGGAATTTTATAATTTACGATTATTTTGTTTAAACCTATCAACTAAAAGTCATATGTTCAACTTCCTTACTTGGTTTAGTTATTCATTTATTATCACCTAAAATGAATAATGAATGATTACTTTTGGGACCACAAATATCGGTAATCTTTCTGTATCCTACAAAACTAGCGTTTAACATGAACTGGAAGCAGCATGGAGTACTACCTTGAGATCTATTTTGATACATATTAAATTATTTCGATAGCAGAGAACATCTTGATTATTTTTGGCATATTTCGTCATTCGAAATCTTGATGATCAACTTTAAGGGATTTATTTTTTGGGGATTCTAATTAGGAGTTAAATATTTACTAAGGTTAATATTTACTCAGTTTATAAGTTTTGAATGGAATGAAATCCTACAACACCCTACTATCGGCTATTATTGCATAATATCAAAGCAGTGAAATATGATTCAGTGGATAAGAATGGAAACATAACTCTGTAATATACCGAGGTACTTATGCATATTTTTAGATTTGCATCATCATCAACTTCAGAATTAATTAATTTGATAGTTTTAGTCACTACTTTCTAACTGATAAAACTTACACAAGTAAAATTACATGATAACTGAGTATAATTAAGACGAAATGTTTTGATTTCACCTATTTTATCTCACTCGAATAAAAAATTTGTTATTGAAAGCATCATAATGTACAAGAATCTTTCAGGTACTTTATGATTCGAAATTAAATTTTCACCTTAAAATCTAAGCAAAAATAAGAAAATTTAAATTTTTACCAGCAATGGAATCAAAGATATACGATACGTCGAGGCAATCCCTTCAGAAAGCACATAATAACAAATAGTGATTAAAGTCATAGTGACGATAGGATGATCCAAACGGTTATATAGGAAACCAAGTAACCATCAAGTTGTCGTGTTTTGTTTCTCACAGATATGAGAATAACAGACCGATTATAAGGATTAAATAAAGAATATTGTAAAGTTGAAAATTAGTCATTGACACTGGCTACTCACTACTAGGTCAAAATACATAAAATACGGGAAGTAAAAACATGACATAAGTTTATTTTATTCGAAATAATTAAAACATAAGTTTAGTCAGTCAGTCAGTCAGTCAGCTACAACGTAGGACCAGGCACATATGTGCATCGGTCCAGGTTGCCATACCTCATTAGCACAGCAAGATGAACACTGGATTCATAGGAGTGGTTAGGTCAAAGGTTGCAATAAGGATATAGTATAGGAAGAAAGAATTAGTTCGTAGAAAGAAAGATATGAAGTGATTTTAATCTCTTAGTTTAAGGGAAGACAGGGAGTGTATACACCGACGCCATTGTGATCGATTCTGAGCCATGTCACCAAGAGTCTCCAACCATTGGTTACGAAAGTCACGCGGACCCCAACCAAGTAGTCTGCATCTACCAACATGGCTCAGACTAGAAGTTAGTGACTTCAGGCACTGATGCCACGTTTTGGTTTGGCCGCCCCTAACTTTCTTCCAACCATCCCCTACACCGGTTAGCATTGCACGTCGTGGTAATCGGTGTTCAGGCATACGTAATACGTGGCCCAACCATCTCAGTCGATGAAGATTCATAACCTCATCAACTGATTTACCATCATTACCTAATACCCTGCGTCTAACCTCACTATTACTTACCCGGTGATCCCAGCAGATGCCAGCAATATTTCTAAGGCATCTGTGGTCAAATACTAGTAGCTTACGGGTGTCTTCCACTCTTAAAGGCCATGTTTCGCTGCCGTAAAGTAAGACAGAACGGACTGCCGCGCAGTATACTCGTCCTTTTATTGATAGACGGATATCTCGCCTCCGCCAAAGGTGACGTAAGTTGGCAAAAGCCAAACGAGCTTTTCGAATCCGTGCTGAGATTTCGTCAGACACCAACCCATTAGGGCTGATCAGACTTCCAAGATAAGTGAAGTTGTCAACGCGTTCGACTACTTCACTCCCTATCCTTAGTTCAGGTGTTGACGCAGACCAGTCCTGAAGCAACAACTTGCATTTAGAGGGAGAGAAGCGCATCCCAAACATTCTGGCATTGTTGCTTAGTGCTGCCAGAAGACTCTGCATTTTGTCAGCGTCTTCACCAAACAGGACTATGTCATCTGCGTATTCTAAGTCGATAAGTGGACCTCCTGGAAGGAGATCAATACCCGAGAATTCAGTCGACGAGAGTGTTATTTCCATCAATAGGTCTATGATGAAGTTAAACAAAAATGGAGAAAGCGGACAGCCTTGACGGACACCACTTGAAGTTGCAAAAGTAGATGACAGTTCGCCATAAGCTCTGACTCGACTAGTAGTGTTCGAGTAAAGAGCCTTCACAAGGTTTATGTACTTCTGAGGTACGCCTTTCAATGACAGACACTGCCACAGAGTCTCGCGGTCTACAGAATCAAATGCTGCTTTTAAGTCAAGAAAGACCACCATCGTCGGACGCCGATAGGTATGCCTGTGTTCTAGAACCTGACGAATGGTGAATATGTGGTCGATGCAGCCACGACCAGGTCTAAAGCCAGCTTGGTTCTCTCGAGTTTGTAGTTCACGAGTCTTAGTTAAGCGTCTGATAATTATCGAGGCCAGTATTTTAGATACTATGTTTGTTAAACTAATCCCTCTGTGGTTGTCACAGGATGATTTTGACCCTTTCTTATATATTGGGACGATAAGTGATTGCGACCAGTCAGATGGGATAAAGTCTAATTCCCAGATCTTAGCTAAAATATTAGTCAACCTAATCGCTAAAATTGGGCCACCATCCTTAAAGACCTCTGGAGCCAATCCATCTGGACCAGCTGCCCTTCCTCGTTTCAGATTAACTATAGCCTTTTGAACTTCAGCAAGAGTTGGGGGACCTACTTCAATGTTCCATTCACACTGTCTGGGAATAGAGGGTAGTTGTACAGTAGCTGAAGGCCAGCTGAACTGTTCTCTAAAATGTTCCGCCCATCGTTCTAAACGCCTGGACTGGGAGCAGATGAGAGTATCATCTTTTTCCGAAATAATCTCACTTACACTTGACTTATTAATTCCAGTTTCTTTTATTAGTCTGTAAAGCTGTCTTGTGTTCCCTATAGTCGCCGCCTTTTCCATCTCTTTTGCTTTCGTTACCCACCACTGCTCACGGTCGTTCCTTAGACTTTTTCTTAACCTAGATCTGATTTGTTTTCGCTCTTCATCATGTTCAGAACCTGATGGGACGAGTTTACGAGAATCCATCAGTGTGACAGACCTTGAAGAAATCCACTGGTTCCTTGCAACTCTGTGGTTTAAGTCACTAATAGATGTCACTGCTGTTTCCACAGCTGATTGTATGCCCTTCCAAGCAACATCTGGGTCAACATAAGTTTAGAGAAAGAAGGAAGTCAAGTTTAATGATTCATATATTAGAAAAAGTAAAAACAAGTCGTTTTCCTCTGATTTTTTATAAATAGATAAAGTATAAGTAACTGTAAAAACGAATTTTCATTACTAAAAAACCGTGCATTTTTGAGAATCGCTTTATACGTCATGCTCTTGTCAATTCAAATATGTTTATATACACCAAGAAAACAAAAGTTTTCAAGTTTAACTGTAATCTAGTAAATATGCATCTTAATAAATAATAAAACATTCTAATAATTAAATATCAATTTGACGAGATCTGAGCTAACTTTGTCACCTGAGTCTTAGTAACCCGTGAAAACATTTATACATTATGCTAAGTATTTTCTAATCACAGGATATTTCTCATCATGATATATCTATCCGTAAGTGGTTGAGGTGAATGACTACGAACTCAAATTAATAACCGGTGAAACAGATGCTCATATGTACAGGAAGCTATCAGATTATACATTCACTAAGTATTCGTAAAATTTTAAAAGTTCATGAGAGAAACCGATAGGTTTTTAAATAACACAGAATATACATACAACAGATCTTGGCTTTTAAGATATTCTGAATGAGCAAGGTAATAGCTGCTTGACAATTAAGAGGTAAGCAGTAAAATAATGTCCTAAGAGACCTCAGTTTATGGTGTCATCATTAATATTCTCTCTGCCGAAAGTAGTCATTTATTTTGATAAGAAGGTCTGCACATAGCTCGTTCATCTAGAGAGATGTCAAATAATTCGAGATGATAGAGATCGTTTAGCAAAAATTCTGAGTATTTCTGTCAAATGCATCCTAGGTTGCAATAGGATCTTAATATCGTATACTCTTATAATAAACAACAGCAAAGTAGTAGTTACGAGTAGTGAAATATGTTGTGAGTAGAAACAAAGTGTAATTTTCAACTCAGATAGATGATGTGTTGTTTACCATAACAAATTTATTTTCCAACTTAACTAATGATCCGCATTATAGGATAATGCATGGAGACACGGGCTAAATATTTTGGTGTATGTAAAACAGTCACGTCACTTAAGTTATCCACAACCAATGAAAGTTTAATCTAAGCAAGACAGATTATTTCTGAAAAAGTAATCATGTTATGAATGATTACATCATTATTTATGTTGAAGTTATGGTAAAGAAGTACTCAATGTGTCTGTTTTGCTAAATTCTGTTTAACATTAATGTTTACTTTATACGAATATTCGTCAAGATTAGAACGAATAGTTTGACAGTAATTGAGCGCCGAGTATAGAGAAGTCATTATATGTGAAAATTATATTTGAAATATTCTCAGCGATTGAAATATAACTAATTCCAACGTTTCGTCCAGCTAACTTGTCTGGACTTCTTCAGGGTAATAATCAAAATCAAAATTATCAAAGAATTTAACTAATTTTGATTTTGATTATTACCCTGAAGAAGTCCAGACAAGTTAGCTGGACGAAACGTTGGAATTAGTTATATTTCAATCGCTGAGAATATTTCAAATATAATTTTCACATATTAATGTTTACTGCCTATCAAAAGTGAAACATTTTAGTGGTGAATTTTAATACTTTTCAGTGACACCTCACATACCATGAAGAAGCAAAATATTCATTCAGTTTTGAAGATTACTTAAAAATAGCTTTGTGTGACCTAAAATAAAATAAAAATCAAAAGAAATACTAGTCAATAAAATGTTTGAACATAACCCACTTGTCATCTTGATGAAATTACGTAAACAGGGTTATAATTTTGTGACACAGGATTTTATGAACCGTAGTAAAACATTTATGTAACCTTGTAATTACTCCTACCTAGCTGAACTTATAAACACACACATCTTTATACACAAAACTGAACTTTTTTCGTTTCAGATATGCGTTCGAAGTAAATCTAATATGCTTGGTTATTATAAAAACCAAGAAAAAACGGAAGAAGTCCTTGATTCAGAGGGCTTTGTTCACACGGGGGACGTTGGAGTTTGGTTAAAAGTAAGTTTTTTCTAATTAAAGTCAATAATAATTCCAAAGTATTAGTCAATTAAATCAATAGTTGTTCTATCGGAAAGTCATTGGTCTAAGACATCGTTTTAGTAAACTACATAAAAATTAAGCATGGAAACCGTGAACTGTTAAGAGTCACCTATATTTGTGTTTGTATTCTTCTGAAACCGAATATATTTCACATGTTTCAAGATTTAGAAAACGTGTTAACCTAAAGAACTTTTATCATTCTTAATACCTTTACACATTGGTACTTTAGCATTCCGTTCAGACCTTCAACCAATACATACACAAATAATTCATTGACGGAATGCTTTAACTTAAAAACTATATGGTCGTGAGTATCCAATGACTATTTGAAATTTTGTTTTTAATAATCATAACATTCTAAGCTCACTCTGTGCATAAATGTTAAAATAAAAGTGGATTGGTAGATTTTAGAAAATTCTATTTTAACTATCTCTTGACAACAGCATTACTTCAGTTCACCGTTTTCCCTGAGTGTTTAATTATCACAGTCTAACTATGATAAATATGGTTAGTTTAAAGAACACTAACTAATTGCAACTGAATTTCTTTTGTTTTATACCTTCACATAAAATTCATACATTTAACGTCAGTAATAATGATAGTTATCATTACAAACGGCAAGCGTATCTTGAACACTTATCAAAGTTATTGAGTTCTCTAAGCTAAGAGAGTTCAACTTCTCCAACATCCTCACCCTGAGTTATAAATATTCTCCTTTATCTAAACACATTATTCACCAGCTATGAAAACTAATTAAAGAATTTGAAAACCTGACGACATGAATAACGGGTATATTGTATTTACATATACATGGTTTATTCAATTTAAGCAATATTTATTCGATCTGCTTCGGTACCAATAATGTAAGGTAAAATTTATTTTATAGGTATTAGATAGTCGATTAATTATTTTAACTAATAATTTTTTAGATGACTGTAAGGATCCGTATATTTTTGTTAGACATGATGCTAGAAGTCATTCATTTAGTGTAAGAATAAATTGTTCACATTATTTCAGCATAACATTCTAGGGAAATGATTGGCAGTAGATTGAAAAACAATTTATAGTTTTCCAGTATTTTTATGGAACTCTTCACCAATGCTTAGTACGAAATCTAGGCTGAGATATTCATTGTTGTACTAAACATGGTATTTTCCCAGTTTCTAAATAAGAATAGGATAAGTTGTATCTTTCTAGGTAGAAATTACCTGCTGTTTGTAAATTTTCACTAATCATTTAGTAAAATGTCAAGATTGTATTCAAATATATCAACCCATTATTTATTCCCAACAGATTCTTTCTATATAATACCTCTTAAATCTTCATTTTCAGAATCCTAACACAATTTCTGTACCCTCTTTATTGTAAATTTATTTCCTGTTTCTCATAGAATGGAGCATTAAAAATTGTGGATCGAACGAAAAATCTATTTAAATTATCACAAGGAGAATATGTAGCACCAGAGAAAGTAGAGCAAACCTACTTATTCTGTAATCTAATACAACATGTGTACGTTGAAGGTCATTCACTTAAACCTTATGCAGTAGCAGTGGTTAAACCAAACTTTAGAAGATTACGCAAGGAAGCAGTAGACATTATTAGCAAATTTGCGAAAAAAATTTCACCACCTATTGGAAAAAAGTGTGAGAACATGAAAGATGGAGAATTACTGGAGGAAATAACCGATGCTGAATTATGCACCAGTAAAGAAATACGTGAATTTATCTTGGAGAGAATGAACTTAATTGCTAGAGAAAAAGGTTTAAAAGGATTTGAACTGGTTAGTCTCGTTTACAATAATAGATTCTTCTTTTTAAAATTATACATAGACAGAGGAAATGTTCCTGACAGTATAATACGCTTGTTACTTTACCTGGAATTTTTTAATCTATGTAAAACAAAGATCTAGGTAATATGTAGTGGCATAAAATGTTTTAGGAAATAATTGAATATTCCATTTGCTGAAAAGGGAATGTTAGTAGTGAGGTGTATGCTGCTTATGTCGACTTAAGTAGTATCTAGCACCAATCGGAAATGGGATGATTGGCATCGGAAGGTTGGGAAGATCGAATCGAAGAGAACGGGAACGGAGAGCAATTGTTATGGCGATGAAGGAACAATGAAGTTTGAGACAACTGATGGAGGATTTACAAATGAAGTATGGAACGTATGGTTTTCACATTTGATGAAAGAACTCTGTTATTATGTAATAAAGTATATTGGTCGACCTTACCTATGTACTCGATCATAACAGAAGTAGAGATAACTTGTTAAACTATTACGATCATTCCAATACATATTCTTATGATTGGCAACAACAATATTTGAAAATGTTTCATATATCTGAATTAATCGGAATTATATAAGGTCACCAAACACTACCAATATACATATTGCGATATATTATGTTTGTGTAAGCGCTAACTTTGCCATCAATCGGCATTTTAAATCAAACGTATGTACAAAATAATGATTATGTTACTATCAAGACTATAAGAGAGAGATGCAAGTAAATGCTGACATTGATGTTTTATTTGCTAAGACTTGGTCAGTCAGCTACAGCGTAGAACCAGGCACATATATGCATCGGTCCAAGTAGCCATACCTTATTAGCACAATAAGATAAACACCAAATTCATAGAAATTTACTTCAATGGTAGTAATATATAAAAGAAAGATTGTGCATAAGGATATAGCACGAGAAGAAAGAATTAGTTGGTAGAAAGAAGGATGTAAAGCAATTTTAATCTCGCAGTCTAAGTGAAGAAAAAGAGTGTATACACCTACGCCATTGTGATCGATTCTAAGCCATGTCACCCAGAGTCTCCAACCATCGGTCACGATAGTTGCGCGGACCCCGATCAAGTAGTCTATATCTATCAACATTGGCTCACACCGGAAGCTAGTGAATTTATGGACTGATGCCACGTTTTGGTTTGGCCGTCCCTAACTTTCTTCCATCTGTCTCCAACATTAGTCAGCATTGCGCACCGTGGTAATCGGTAGTTTGCCATGCGTAATACGCGGCCCAACTATCTCAGATAATGTACATTCACGACCTCATCAACTGATTTACCATCATTCCCTAATACCATGTGTCTAACCTCAATATTACTTACCCGGTGATCCCAGCAGATGCGAGCGATATTTCTAAGACATCTGTGATCAAATACTAGTAACGTACGAGTATCCTCTACTCTTAATGACCACGTTTCGCAAGCTTGAGGTAAAACAGAACAAACTGCTGTGCCGTAGTGGTAGACGGATAACTTGCCTTCGCCATAGGTGACGTAAGTTGGCAAAAGCCAAATGAGCTTTTCGAATCCGTGCAGAGATTTATTCAGACACCAACCCATTAGGGCTGACCAGATTTCCAACACAAGTGAAGCTGTCGGAACGTTCGATCACTTCACATCTTTAGTTTAAATGTTGACACAAGTCCGTCCTGAAGTATCAGTCTGTATTTAGAGGGGGAGAAACGCATCTCAAACATCCTGATGGCCTCTTCGTGGGAGATCAACTCCCGAAAATTCAGTCGACGAGAACGTTATTTCCAGCAGTAGGCCTATGATGAAATCGAACAGAAATTAAATAATGGACATCGTTTTCAGACACCATTTGAGGATGCGAAATCAGATGACATTCAGCTTTAGCTCTGACTCGACTGGTGGTGTTCGGGTAAAGAGCCTTCACAAGGTTCATGTACTTCTGAGGTACACCTTTCAATGACGGACACTCAGACAGAACCCCTCGGTCAACCGAGTCGAATGCTGCTTTTAAGTTAAGAAAGATCACGATTGTCGGACTCCGATGAGCATGTCTGTGTTCTTAAATCTGACGGATAGTGAATATAAGGTCGATGCAGCTGCGACTAGGTCTGAAGCCAGCCTGATTTTCTCGTGTTTGCAGTTCACGGGTCTACTAGTATTTTAGATGTTATGTTAATCAAACTAAATCCTATATGGTCATCAAAGGATGATTTTGATCGTTTCTTATATATTGGAACGATCAGTGATGGCGACCAGTTATATACCATTACGAAAAGAGAAAGAACAAAGGTTCTAGCAGAATAACATGAATTGCTTGTTCTTGCTCTTTTTAAAATGATAAAGGGAACTATGTGTATGATATATACGATTACGTTCAACTCCCAGATTTTAGCTAAACGTTCAATCAACTTAATCGCTAAATCTAGATCGCCATCCTTAAAGATCTCTAGAGTTGATCCATTTGGACCAGCTGCTCTTCCTTGTTTCAGATCAGCTATAGCTTTATGAATTTCAATTAGAGTCGGAGGCCTACTTCAATGTTACATTCAGGCTATTTGGATATGGCGGTTAGCTGTAGAGCAGCTGAACTGCTGCACTCATCGTCCCAAACGTCTGGAGAGAGTAGATAACAATGCCGACTTTTTCCGAGATTATCTCACACTTGAATTCTTAATTGCGGTTACCTACAGCCGTTGATTTTTCCATCTGTTTTGTTTTCGTCGTCCACCACTGTTTGCGATCGCTCCTTAGACTTTTGATAAATTTAGACCTCATTTGTTTTCGCTCTTTATTGTGTAGCATCCATTCTTCACTTCATCCGTGCTGCAGTCGATGGGGGCGTAGGCAGGAATGACGAGTTCTTAGGGGGCCATTAATCCGACCAGCACATAAGCAACTGTTAACGGAGATCCATTCTAAAAGTTGTTCTTCCATCATGCTTAGTGCTATGTCTACCTCCGTCCGTCCACAAGAACTTGCCATCGGATCGCCAGACAGACGGAGGATGTGTCTCGTCGGCTCCCCACTTTGGCTAGATGAAGTCAAGTAAATGACTACACTAGGATCTCGTATGTGTGTTTCGAAGACAGAACACATCAATCGTACGAGATTTTAGAATCTTAGTCAAGGGGGCTTGCCGACCGATTTCACACAGGATTTATTTACTATTTATTTGAACACATAAATATTGGTACAAGAGGGCACCAAATATATACGCGCCACACAAAACAATGAGAATTCGAAAAGAAAAAAAGTAAGGAGCGTAGAAAAAGAAAAATAACGAACAGATTAGTGTAAGGTAGTGTAATAGTAATAAAAATAATAATAATAATAGTAATAATGAGGGAAATGGAAAGGTGCAGTCGGAAGAAATCTTTCAGTTAAGGAAGATACAACCATTTTTTATGAAGGAAGTAAAAGAAGGTTACATCAGGATCGCCACTGGCTTCTATTCTGAGTCATGTCCGATCACGTTGCAAACCACTGTGTTGCACCATCCCTCGGACCCCAGCCAGGGAGTCGTGCCTATAAGCGGGACGTTTCGCAAGCGGCTTTACTCGCCATTTTCATGGCGTCATGCAGCTGCAACCAATGCTCATCTTTACCATTCGGTGGAATGGTAGCTAACCTAGGAGCTAGCTTGGTTCGATACTTACTTGCAACAGAAGTTGTAACCAACTTGCTGACATCAATCTTTTGGTGACGGTCACTTCGTTGGCCACTGAAAAGTAAGGTAAGATTGGCGCAGACCAGGGCATGATCAGAGTCCAGATAGGTACTCCAAAAGGAGCGGCAGCCTTGTACACAACAACGTCAGCGGTAGCTGATCGCGATGTGATCAATCTGAGTCCAGGCTTGAAGTGCAGAGGAAGGACGCCAGGTGGCACATCGGCGATGACTATGCCGGAAGTTAGTGCTAGCCAGAAACAGGTTGTGGTCTGTGCACAGTTGCAGTAGACAGTCCCCGTTATCTGTCCTGCAATCATCATGTCCCCATCGGCCACCTAAACGACTCTCTTCTGTGTCTAGACGCCCGACCTGAGCATTCAAGTCTCCGGCTAGTATTACAATATCTGTCTAATGAACTTTCTGTAAAACTGTTAGTTGGTGGTAAAACTCATCCTTGGTGGCATTCGGGTTGCAATCTGTCGGAGAATAGGCGAAGATGACGAAAATACATCGTTTCTCACGCCGATTTCTTCTCACTTTGATGGAACTTTCTAATCTAACAGCACATAACTGACTGTTAATGGGGATCCAATCGATTAGTGCTGCCTCAGCTCTAGCGCTTTGTGCGACACCAATGCCACCAAGACCAGACGAAGATGCCACAGGGTCCCCTGATAAATTGAAATTGATTATGAATACAGTGGTTTTGAATGCTGTTAGAGGTACTAGAGCATCTATGACTTCCCGGTCACCCACTTCGTGGAAAAGTTCTTATAGAGGTACTCGAAAAGGAAATGGAGTTAGAGTTGGTCTTTGTGGCCTGAGGACCTGACTGCAATTCCCAAGGGACAACTGCTTGAGGCAGACCACACACGACGTTTGTGTGGGTAATTTTCGTGTTAGCTCCGTATCTGTTGAGACTTTACCGTCGAGGATGGAAATTCATGGGATAAGACGAGTTGTGCATTTTTAGGTTTGACCTTTTCTAACCACACCCTTCCTTTGTGAGAAGGCAGCATCGCTGTCGTGCTGGTTGTCCGAGGGAAACACCTTACAGCCGTCACATCTCTGTACAGCCAGCAGTACGACTTCGACCTATGACCTTGGGTTCACTGCCTTTAGCCTAACCGTTTTTCAACTGATTCGCTTGACATACTAGGACCTCAAAGAACGAATTGTCCAGGCGGTATAGCCCGACCATCACGTCAAGATAGCAGCAACAGTCGGGACATAAGACTTAACGTCCAAGACAACTACAGGATGAAAGGATCGGGTGTGGTTTTCATTCAAACTAATGCTCAGAAGGTTAAATGATTTTCGTCTTATTTTTTCATAAACAGTGAGCTTCAGTCGCACATATAAACGCCAATTATCAGTTTCTGAATGAAACTGTCAACCATTAAGCACCTTTTTAAAGTGACGTAATCGCCAATCAAAACAAGTGATGTTGGTGCTGAAAAATGTAATTATAAATATATAATTCTTAAATGTTTTACCCTTAAATACAGGCCCGCAATATCTACTTAACACCAGAACCGTTCACAGTAGACAATGGATGGTTAACTCCAACAATGAAACTTGCAAGGATAAATCTACGAAAACATTTTGCAAATACTATTAAAAATCTGTACGAAGAAGAGAAAAGCTGTTAACTACTGATTGTCAATATTTTGACACAAGGCTATTTTATATTATATGGTTTCATTCACTTATTTTGACACTACTCATTTTTACCTTTTTCAATAACAGAGAACTATTGTGCTTTAATTTTGCTCTGTATTATTTTCCCAAAAAAATACATATATTTTTGCCATTATTTACTGTAGAAACAAGTATCCATAACAATCGTGTAACAACTGCTCTTTCGAATTGTTAAACGAGTTTTTTGTCATTCACAGTTAAACGGATCACCAATGCCACCCGAAAGATAAGAACACAAAAAGTCATTAGAAAGTGGTGTATGTACTATGTGAGGACTTAGGAAACGCTTTCCTTTTTATTGAACCCCAGCAGATTGGAGGCTTCGGGATAGGGACTCGTCCAAATGCTTGGTGATGAATTTTAGTTTTTTGTGATATGAATAAACTACTTTAAGTACAAAATATTCTCAAAAGTAGTATGGTGAATGGACGAATCTGACCATGCATTTGAAACAAACCGAATAATTGATCAGATGTCTCTTAAAACAAAGCTCAGTAAATGCATTTCCACTTTTTAAGTAGATCAAATCCGATTGCACTCGACTTTGATTCCTCCCTCTTCCAATTCAGACGCGAATAACAGTGATAATACATTCAATATGGGCACATACAAATGGGAGATTTTAGGAGCGGCATACACTTACACTATAGGTAATTATTGAATACACACTTGCTTTGGATTAAGTAATACAACACAGAATGCTAATAAACATTAAGTGAATATTCTTCATATGGATGGATACGCTATCACGTGATACATCACGCACATTAAATGAAGGGTCAGCAGTATGTATTTAGTTTTTGCCTAAATCCTATGCAAAAAACCTAAATAGGAAACAATCCATGTGTGCATTTTATAGCTGATCTTATATCAATCACACAAAGAAATAAAATACTGTAGATAACATTTTCAAACTACCATGTCAGTTGAAACATTATATCGACCATTCTTAACTCAAGATGATGATCACTGTAGTCGGTAGTACGAATAATGCTAGATTACCCGCTAATAACTCGGATAAAACGGGACAACTTCACAATTTTAAACAGGAAAACATATCATTCTTGCTTGAAGTTTATGAAACTTAACGTAAAACCCTTTTCGCATCTATCATGTTTAGATAAATTGGTATCGGTCAGGTCGTTGAAAATTTTCATTTAAATTAAGGAGTCCACAGAACCCTGCGTCAACAGTTTCACCGTATCTTATGAATTGCTTGAGTCTAATTCGACTAGAAAGGATAGTCTTCAAAATATTGTCATAAACAGCTTTTGCTCATAAACAAGGTATTTCATTTTCATTACCTAACCTGCAACTAAAATGACAGCCGTGTGCAAACGAAATTAGTATCTAATGAGCGATTAGTTTATTATTACCGTAACTTACAGATGTAGAATGGCCATAAGATATATACAGGATAATCTGTCTTATTGACTAGGTATATGAATCGCTCTTATGTAATCGAATGTTTCAGTGAATTCAAGTACATAGAAGACCATGAAAATGGAGTGACTCTGAAAACATAGTTATCAATTTTGCTAATTCATGGACGTTTATTTATTCCTACTTCGAATTATCAATTACGCAGTTTTATGTTCAAAATGCTAGATATTTAGGCTTACCCTTGTACAATAAATGTGAGTCTTATTTTGATGTACGTGAGTCTACACATTATTCTTCAGCATACTGTAAAATTTGAAGTCAAATTAGACTCACGACAGATATAATCAGTACTTTCAGTACTCTTATGTACGAGAATAATTATAACTGAAGATGTTCTGGAATACCCTGATTCTAAAAACATGGAAAGATACAATTGAACGCGATTTAATCCACAAATATATGTACAAACTGTAGGCTTAATCACAAATGAATCATTCACGAACAACAACTGTTGCTTGTTGTTTTTTACGACCAGTTTTTAAGCGCTTCATTTGTTGTTGTTCTTTTCTTTTGATAGCAGCCCGTTTTTCAGCCATAGCACGTGCAATCTTGGCATATCGTTTCCGTTGAGCCCTAGAAAAATTGTGACAATAAATAGGTAAACATTACCCTTCACTAACTAATATGACTAGAAATACTGAGTCATGTACCCCGAATAAAAACAATGCGAATCAAGAAGATGCAAGAAACGCACTCTTTGCAATAGTTTTCAGGCAGTAAACGACGCATTATCGGTTTGTAAACGGAGATATCTAAATGCTTGAAAATAGTTAATAGTTATTCACACATCAGCATATTTTGGTAGCTTACGTGAGAGCCATTGTTGCTTTTCATTTTTAGTGATGGTCGAACAGAATAATAAATATATGTAGAATTTAACTGAAGCATCTTAATTATTATGCATTATCATCTACTGTATTCCCTATAACCTCATGCATACTCCTTAAATTATTTATTTAAGAGTATACCACCAAAGGCTTTGGGTATTCAAACGTAACAGTGATGAGTTAAAATCGTACATGTGGCTAGATGGATAACTTAACAGTACAGGTGTAGTAATGGTGATCTACCAATGTCAAGAACTTATATCGATGGTATGTAAAACATGATGGCATTAACTGACCGAGGAGATGAAACGGTAGAAACAATCAACTACTTCACTCTCTAAGGTCCCAGATAAGCCTACTAATGACATAAAATTGTTTTGAAACTCAAAAATAATCAACAGTTACTAAATATAAAGAGTAGCATAACTCGCATCAAACGTATTTTCTAAGAGTTCCTCTCCAACAAAACTACCACCAGAAAGATCACTATGCATCGTGAAATTATTTCTGGTAGGTTAAGAGAAATATCTTTATTACTAAACTACGAATCAAAGTAATTAATGTGAGGAAGTATGCTCTCTTTTTATTTATAAAGATTCGTAACCAAACTTAAAAACCTAGAATCATTCCCCATACACTTCAACTGATATATCCCGACGAGAATAATGATTGCTAACTGTTGGAGTCTATTTCTGGACTAATACTATACATATATTTTTATCGTATAATTGTCAAGTACCTAAACTACTCATATTCGTGTTCCTCTTATCATAAACTTTATTTTGACCTAAGAACTATTATTATACGATTTACCATTCTTGATTTATGCCCTGTCTATCAATTACTATCTCCCACATTCACAACCACATATGGCTGAATCTTGTACAAATGTTATTTTCTACTTTATGGTACGATGTGGTCTGGTTGGCTGATATATAAACCCAGTATGTTTGAAATACATTATTCATATCGCGGACTAAAAGCAGCAACTCAAGGTCTGAGGGCGAAGTCGTACTGCTGACTGTAGAGGGGTGTGACAGCAGTAAGGTGTTTCCCTCGGACATCCAGCATGACAGCGATGCTGCCTTCCCACAAGGAGGGGTGGGGTTAGAAAAGGTCGACCCTAAAAATGTCACACCTCACCTTACCTCACGGATTTCCGTCTCCGGCGGTAAGGCCCTTTGAAGAACGGAGCTAACACGTCAAAAATCTTCCACAAAAAGGCCGTGCGCGACCGGCCTCAAGCAGTTGTCCCTTGGGCTTTGCGGTCACGCTCCCAGGTCGTCAAGACCAACACTAATCCAATTTCCTTTTCAGGTTCCTCAAGAAATACCCTTCCACGGTGTGGGCAGCCGGGAAGTGATATCAGCCCTCATACCCGTAACAGCACAAGAGACCAAGGTGGTCACATTCAAATCTTTCCTACACCTTCTAATACTTCTCTTATCTCCCCGACTAACCCTCCCCACGTCTCTTTATCACCTCGCACCGCTAGGGCAAACGATTCGAGTACGTGGAACGCCATTCCTGGTCTCCTGAAACCACGCTCTAAACTACACGTAGGAGCTTTTAACGTACGAACACTTTGCCAAATAGGACAGCAGGCTTCCTTAGCTAGGACTTTAGAATCTCGCGCCATCGATGTGTGCTGCGTCTCCGAAACGCGCATACAGGATCCAAGTAGCGTCATTCACTTGACCTCACCATGCCAAAATAAAGAACCGACTCGATTTACGCTTCGTGTATCTGGGAGCCCTGATTCTGCTTCCCGTGGCCTCGCCGGCGTAGGTATAGCATTGAGTCCTAGGGCAGAACTAGCTCTCTTAGAGTGGATCCCAGTAAACAGTCGTTTGTGCGCTGTCCGACTGAACGGAACAGTAAGAATCCGGAAAGATAGGGACACTCGTCGTTGCCTCTTCGTCGTCTCTGCCTATTCTCCCACTGACTGCAGCTCAGATGATGTAAAAGATGAGTTTTACAGAAAGCTTTCGGACCTTCTCCGAAAAGCTAAGCGCTCGGATGTAGTATTAATGGCCGGTGACTTTAATCCTCAAGTAGGTAAACTAAGCGATAGGGAAAGACACCTAGGTGGATCTTATGGTGTCGTGGCTCAAAGAACAGATAATGGCGACCGTCTGTTGCAGCTATGCTCAGATAACCGCCTGTTCCTTGCAAATACTAACTTTAAACATAAGGAAAAACATCTTTTAACATGGAAACCCCCTAATTCGTCCCAACGTTGGACCCAAATAGATCACATCGCTATCAGCCACCGATGGAGGGGCTCGATAGAAGACTGTCGCTCATTCTGGAGCACATGCCTAGATTCAGATCATGCTCTAGTGCGAGCGCGTATTTGCTTGCGTCTTACTGGACGTAGGAAAGACGCTGCAAGAAAACCTCTTAGGGGCCTACTTAATGATAGTCAAGCTAAGAGTATATTTCAGGAACAACTAGGAAAACAGTTAGGCAGCCATGTATGTGATGCCCACCCCGATACAGCATGGAATGATATCCGAAAAGCTGTGGAAACAGCAGTGATATCTGCTAGTAAGGTAAACCAGAAGGTTAGGGAGCAACACTGGATCTCAGCAGCATCTATCTCACTGATAGATGCTCGGAAACTCATTCCACCTGGCTCTGAACATAATGAAGAGCGGAGTCAGCTTAAGCGCAAGCTGACCAGAAGCCTACGCAATGATCGCGAACAGTGGTGGGTGGCGAAAGCAAGAGAGATGGAAAAGGCAGCGGCAATAGGTAATAGCAGACAATTGTTCAGACTCGTTAAGGAAACCGGAATTAGGAACCCGACCGTTAGCGAAACAATCTCAGAGAAAGATGGACATATTATTCATTCTCAATCCAGGAGATTGGATCGATGGGCAGAACACTTTAGGGATCAGTTCAACTGGCCTTCAGCCACACTTCGGTTTCCCACGATCTCTAGTCAACCTGAATGGCAAGTTAATGTAGGTCCTCCGACTTTTTACGAAGTTGAAAAAGCCATAGGAAATCTGAAACGAGGGAGAGCAGCAGGCCCTGACAGGTTTACTCCTGAGATTTTTAAGGATGGTGGTCCAGTATTAGCAATGACATTAACCGAGGTCTTAGGTAGAATTTGGGAACTGGACGTAATCCCATCTGACTGGTCTCAATCACTGATTGTGCCAGTCTATAAGAAAGGACAAAAGTCCTCTTGTGACAATCACAGAGGAATCAGTTTGACTAATATAGTGTCTAAAATATTAGCTTCAATAATACTTCGACGCCTAATCAAAGCTCGTGAAGAGTAGACTAGAGAAAATCAGGCTGGTTTTCGACCTGGACGTGGTTGTATAGATCAGATATTCACACTACGTCAGGTTCTAGAACACAGACACACATTCAGACGCCCCACAATGGTAGTATTTCTCGACCTTAAGGCGGCATTCGACTCTGTTGATCGTGAGGTTCTATGGCAGTGTTTGTCACTGAAAGGAGTACCAAAGAAGTACATTAACCTTATAAAGGCTCTCTACTCGAACACAACTGGTAGAGTGAGAGCTTATGGCGAACTGTCATCAGAATTGATTACCTCAAGTGGTGTTCGTCAGGGCTGTCCACTCTCCCCATTCTTGTTCAACTTTGTCGTGGACGTACTTCTAGAGATAACACTTTCCTCATCTAGATTTCCAGGGGTTGAACTTCTACCGGGAGGTTCACTTGTTGACTTAGAATATGCAGATGACATAGTTTTATTTGGTGAAGACGCTGACAAAATGCAGAGTCTTCTGACCACTCTAAGCAACAATGCAAGCATGTTCGGGATGAGATTCTCTCCCTCGAAATGCAAAATGTTGCTTCAGGATTGGGTTACATCGACACCCGAACTAGTGATAGGGAGTGAAGTAGTTGAGTGTGTCGACCGCTTCACTTATCTTGGAAGTCTCATCAGCCCTTGTGGTCTGGTGTGTGACGAAATCTCAGCACGGATACAGAAGGCTCGACTAGCTTTTGCCAACTTGCGTCATTTATGGCGTAGGCGAGATATCCGTCTATCAACCAAAGGACGTGTTTACTGTGCAGCAGTTCGTTCCGTCCTACTTTATGGCAGTGAAACATGGCCGGTAAGAGTAGAGGATATCCGTAGGCTACTAGTATTTGATCATAGGTGTCTTCGAAACATTGCTCGTATATCATGGGACCATCGATTAAGTAACACAGTTGTTAGAAAACGGGTACTAGGTAAGGATGGCAAATCAATTGATGACGTAGTGAAACTTTATCAGTTGAGATGGCTGGGACACGTGTTACGTATGCCCAACGACCGACTGCCTCGACGTGCTATGTTCAGTGGTATAGGAGTAGGTTGGAAGAAAGCTAGGGGCGGCCAAACCAAAACATGGCACAAGTCCATGAAGTCACTGACAAGTGAACTGAGTCATGTTGGTAGGTGTAGACTACCTGGTTGGGGACCGCGAGATGATAGCAACCGATGGTTAGAGACCCTGAATGACATGGCTCAAAATCGTTTGCAATGGCGCAGGTGCATCCACTCTCTGTGTTCTCTCAAATTCTAATCTTCTGAATTCTTCATGTCCCTTTTTTCCTCTTTCCAAATTTATTTCACTGGATTATACTCTATAAATAACATCTCCAAACCCTAATCTTCCCGATTACTGCTTATACTCTTGCTACCTCTACCACTATGGGATTTGAATCGACAACTGCATCTCTGTGCTAATGTGGTGTGGCAACTCGAACTGATGTACGTACGTACGAAGTTCTACGTTGTTACTGACTGACTGACATATCGCGGAGGCTGAGATTCGTGTTCTACGTTATAACTTGTGCCCTGAATCATATTAATGTATGACGTAATGATACCATCAATTAGAGAATAGTGAATTATCGACCGGACCAATGATGCATAAAACAAGTACGAGCAGTCTAAAGTCTTTATTGGTCTGGTGTCAAACAAGGTTGCTCACTCACACCCTTTCTCTTTCTCCTGGTGATCGACTGGATCATGAAGACGTCAACGTCTGAGGGGAAGCATAGGATACTGTGGATAGCTAGGATGCAGCTGGACGACCAAGACCTCGCTGATGATCTGGCTCTTCTATCGCACATATAACAACAAATGCAGGAGAAGACCAGTACAGCTGCAGATGCTCCAGCAGTAGGTCTCAACATACACAAAGGGAAAAGCAAGATTCTCCGACACAACACAGCATGCTCCAATCGAATCACACTTGATGGAGAAGATTTGGAAGATGTAAAAACCTTTACATATTTAGGCAGCATCATCGATGAACTCGGTGGATCTGATGCAGATGTGAAGGCACGGGTCGGTAAGTCAAGAGCAGCATATCTACAACTGAAGAACATCTGGAACTCGAAAAACTGTCAATCAACACCAAAGTCAGAATTTTCAATACAAATGTCAAAACAGTTTTACTGTCTACTGGGGCGGAAACCTGGAGAACTACGAAAGCCATCATCCAGAAGATACAAGTGTTTATTAACAGCTGTCTACGCAAAATACTTCGGATCCGTTGACCAGACACTATCAGCAACAACCTATTGTGGGAGAGAACAAATCAGATCCCAGAGGAGGAAGAAATCAGGAAGAAGTGCTGGGAGTGGATAGGACGCACATTGAAGAAATCACCCAACTGCGTCACAAAACAAGACCACACTTGGAATCCTCAAGGTCAAAGAAAAAGTGGAAGACCAAAGACCATATTACATCGAGAAATGGAGACAGACATGAGAAAAATGAACAAAAATTGGATAGAACTAGAAAAGAAGGCCCAGGACAGAGTGTGTTGGAGAATGCTGGTCGGCGGCCTATGCTCCATTGGAAGTAACAGGCGTAAGCAAGTAAGTCAATAATGAGATATACATTTTATGCTACTAAGAGGTAAGTTGTGTAAATGATTACGAAATATTTCCTGAGTTATTCAGAAGTAACTTCCTTAGATAAAGCAATACACTATCAATCAAGTATTCGACAACAAACCCAAAACCAAACTAAACTTACTTCATAATTTCAGCATTAGCTAGAAGCTCATCTACAAGTGTTTTCCCTCTTTGTTTTCGCGGCAGTCTATCGTAGAAGCTTCCAGGATCATCTACAACTACACCTCTCTAAAACAAATTATTAAAGGGAAAGAAGACAATTAAGATAACGTGATTTGTTTCTTACAAGGTAATTAAGATAATAGTTAGTAACTAGTTCAACTAAATCGGCATGGAATTTAATCAGTCAAGCATTATAAAAATAATAAGATATCACAGAAGGAAAAACTATATACACAGACAGATAACAGTAGATATGTAGAGGTGGATTTAATCATGTTATTTAAAGCCTACACCCAACAATACGCGAAATTTAAATAACCCTACAAAAAGTTGTCATTAACAAAACAGTGTTTTATGTGAAAACACACACGGCATTCTAATACGGAAACAAAACTTTGAGGTCAGAGTTAGTAATCCTCATGAATAAATTATGTAGAAAACGAGATAGTAACGAAAACTTAAAAATTAATAAGTTCAAATGTCTGTACAATGGTTGGAAAAAAGATCCTTCAATGAAATAGTAAGTTTCAACACAAAATTTTTAAAACAGATAGCAGACAAAATGATTTGAAATGAGTCAACTACTGCCTACAAACGGAAGGAAATAAAATAAATAAGTATTAAAACTCATTAACCAAATAAAGGATTGTGGTTTGGGAGTTATGTGTGAAGCCTAGAGCTGATGCTTATCTGCCATAACCCAAGTAGATAGAGAGATTTAGACCAAGAACCTGATAGTCAAAAACAGAATGCTTATAATATTATGTTGTACATCTTTACGTACATGTTGAATAGTAAGGGATTTATTTATTGATGCTTCTTTTGAAATCTTTATATGCCTGTTAATTCAACAGTAGATTTATATAACTCTAATCCAGAAATAAAAAATTACCAACACACTAATTTATACAAGGTTGATACAACAACACCTTGAAGGAACAACTGCTTATATTTTTATAACTATTAAAAAATATGACTTGGGTGTATAAAAATATCGCAACAATAAGGAGCTAAAAATAGATAAATATCATACCGAAATAGCATAAATCCACAATGATTTACCTGGAAGTAAACAGACTTCCCATCCGATCTTCTCACGTGTGTATCTGATGAAATAGCGCGACGTAATCTAATTAATTCTAAATCATCACGATCTTCTTCAGTGACATCAGGTCTCGGAAGATCAAACCAGTTTGACAGTTTGCTTTTGCGTTCAGCCTACAGACAAAAATCAAAACAGGTGTAACTTGACGCCTGACAAATGTAAAACATTATTTTAACGGAAATAACGGCCTTTTTACTGACGACTAACAACTTACTGTTTCGCTTGCAAAGTAGAGCTACTAAGTTGGTAAGTTACCTAAATATTTCAACAAATTGCATGCCTACTGTGTCTGCTTAAAAAACCAATTGTGTGAGACAACCGTACCACTTACCAACACCTAATTTTTACTTGAACCTGTTACCCTTCGTGGAGGAAAACCAGCCACCCATAAGCATTCTTCATCGAACTCTACCCTAGGCAATCCATTCCAGTTGTTTCCAGCTGCTATCTATCCTTTTAATGTCTGCTTCCAATTCTCAACTTAGTGTGCTTTTTGATCTTTCTCTTTTCTGTTTCCCTTCGATATCCAAAGTTAGCGCCTATCTCGCCATGCAGTCTGATGATTTCCACAATGTATGTCCTATCCACCTCCGTTGCCTTTCCTTAATTTTCTCTTCAGCTGGTTTGTTCTCTTCAACAGTAGACTGTTGCTGATGGTATCCGGCCAACGGTCATTCAATATCCCGTGTAGACAATTATTTATAAATACTTGCGATTTTTTGATGATGGTGGTGACAGTTCTCCAAGATTCAGCCCAGTACAGTAGAACTGTCTTCACGTTCGCATTGAAGATTTTGATTTTGATGTTGGCTGACAGCTGTGTTGCCAATCCTTGATTTTAGGTCTGCATCAGATCCTCCTTGTCCATCGGTGATGCTGTCTAGATATGTAAGGGTTTCTACCTCTTCCAGAACTTCTTCATCAAGTGTGATTGGGTTGTTGTTTTCCATGTTGTATTTAAGGATCTTGCTTTTTCCCTTGTGTGGGTTGAGGCTTACTGATGGAGAGGCCTCTCCCATAATGGTTATCTTGACCTGCACTTGCTCGTATGTATGGGATAGAAGGGTTGAGTCATTCGAGAAGTCCGAATTGTCTACTTCTATCCAAGTTGTCCATTGTATTCCGTTCTTCCCCACAGATGTCAAAGTCTTCAAAATCCAATCAACCACCAGAACAAAGAGGAAGAGTGAGCGGTCTTGTCTGACACCGGTCCTTACTCGGAATGAGTCTGTCAGCTATCTCTCACGCACCACTTTGCAGTGTAGTCCGTCGTATGAATTCCTTATGTTGACGATTTTCCATAAGGTTATCCTTTCCACGTTGTCAAACACTTTCTCATTGTCAAAGAATCTGATGTATAGTGACGAGTTTCATTTAGTTGATTGTTCAACAATGATCCATAATGTTGTGATCCAGTCTGTGCACAACCGATCCTTAAGGAATTCGGTCTGTTGATCTCGAAGTACGGTGTCCACTGAATCTTTCATCCAGTTCAGCAATACTCTTTAGAAAACGTTTCCTGGTACCCATAGTAGTGTGATACCTCTGTAGTTTCCACATTTGCTTAGATCTCCTTTCTTTGGTATCTTGATGAGGTATCCTTCTCTCCAGTTCGTTGGCACTTGTTCCTCCTTCCAAATCTTCATGTATAGGACTTGTAACATGTTTGCAGTTGCTTCTATGTCTGACTTCAGTGCTTCAGCTGGTATATTGTCAGGTCCTGCTGCTTCCCCACTATTCATTTGTCTGATGGCTATCCCGATTTCCTCGATCGTTGGTGGGGTGACATCTATAAAAAGGTCTATAGGCGCTGCTTCAATGTCCGGTGGATTTAATGGAACTAGCCGATTCAAGAGCTCCTTAAAGTGTTCTACCCATCTATTCATCTGTTCTTCAGTTTCAGTGATTGGCTTTCCTTCTTTGTCCTAGACTGGTCTCTCTCGTTTACTATATTTCCCTGTCGGTTTCTTCGTTGTGTCATATAGTTGTCTGATATTTTCTTCTGTTGCAGCTCTTCCACTGTCGTTGCTAGCTCTTCTACGTATTTCTGATTGTCTGCTCCAGTGCTCCTTTTCATGAGCACTTTGCTATGAGATTACAGCCTCTCGTAAAACTGATCTTTATCGTTGTCGTTGCTATCATTGGTGGGTGCATAACGTTGGATAACATTCATTGTGATTCCCTCATTTGTTTTGAAAGATGTTTTGATGATCCTGGGTCTACGAGATTCTCATCCTATAAGTGCTTTACATATTCCTTTGGACAGCATCAAAGCAACTCCGTGAGTGTGCGAAGCATTTTCTTCTTCGTGACCACGGCACAGTAGCATCTCTCCTGAACCTATCATTTTCTGCCCAGCTTGGGTCCAACGGGTTTCACTGATTTCGAACACATTCAAGTCTTATCTCCTCATTTCCCCAGATATTTGGTTAATCCTTCCGGTCTCTCACATTGTCCGGACATTCCATGTACCTATACTAATTGTTGCTCTGGTTGTTAGAAAACGTATCGGCCTTGTGACTACTGAGAAATATCGGTTTTCAACATGAGGCATCATAATTCCTCCTTCAACTCTGAGGGCAGAGTTTAAATGATTTGATTTGTTTATTCTGGTTAGCCTGTTTATAGCAAGGTTGTTTTCTACGGGTTGGCAATGCTGACCCCATGCCCAACCCTCATCCTTTACCGGGGATTGAGACCTGCAGTAGCCCTAGAAGAGATACAAAACAACTAACCGACATGCTAAATACTTAAAGTTCAAGAAGTTTCCTAGTGGCTGGAGACATACACAAAAAGGAATGAATATCTGCACCTGAAATAGTTTTTGATAGAAAACAACTGTTAGGAGTGAATTATCTCTAATCTTTATATGCATAACTATGTACTGTAACTGATATGTGAATATAATTCAAGGATCTTGGTTACATGATTTCTATGATGATAATTTGGCATTACTACATAGTTACAAGATTTACCGTCTGAATTTCAATCCTGAAAAATACAAAGTGCAGTGTTAGTGTTGCTACGCTCGTAAATATGATCTGAGGTGAGTTTAACTATATGCGTTTTAGGTTTTTAAATGATTACATCAACCACCTGATGTTCATAATTCCATTCGATGTATATATGAATCTTTAATGCACTTCATCTACAATATCCATTTTTGTTGACTAGTGCACTGGATTTGATGTCACTGTCCTCATTGGTTATCTTTGAATCGTATGTGGTGATTTCAATTCAGGTAACTGTAACTTTCATACACTACTCAGTCACCAAGACCTCATCATGATTCAGTTGTCTCTTAAGATAAGCCTTCGTGGAATAGCATTTATGATTACATGAGTAACTTATCAGTAGACGAGGGTAAAAGAAGGCTAAAATACCTACGCTTGTACAGAAAATCGGACTTACGACTTTAAAAAGTGTCAGAACTCACTCGACGAATTCGTTTCAATTCCCGCTTGCTGTGGAGACCAGGTACTGCTGTTAGGTAGTAAGGATTCTTTCCAGAAAGAAAAACAGTAATAATTTCGTTATTTCAAGTTATTAAGGAACCAACAAATGCGTCACACAAAATTAGAATGCAATTTTACAAAAACATAAAATCAAAACAAGAAAAATATTAAAAAGAATACAATAATCAAAAGATATATATATATATATATATATGTTGAGTAACCGATTTATTCTTCAAGGAATGTTTTAACTGATGAACATATATCTCCTAAGAGAAAAGTAGGTCAAATGGCTACAAATACAGCTCATTTATCAAGTACAGGTTCAAGTACTCAGCTATGAGTCACACTTTCTAATGAAAAGTGCTGACATTACTAGCTACACAGACCGAAGTATTTACGAGGTTTGAACTTGTGATTTATTGATTGAAGGTTAAATTTTCTAGCCACCGTTTCACAACTATTAAATTGCAACCAAAATTAGTACATATTACTAATGATTCGCAAAGTACGATAAATTGTTTCACTATTTCAAGTCAGTTCTGAATCCCAACCGGAATATATTAATGCTAGTAACGTACTGACAAATAAAGCAGAGAACAATTACTGATCCTGTCAGTAATAATACTAGATCACATAGAAGTAGAGTAAACAGGTTAATCAGATACTATAAGATGAATGAAAGCACAATCGAATACGGAGGGTATTGTCTTACCCAATTTCACCCATAAGGATCCATACCAACACAAATAGTAATAACTTCATAAAACCAAATGTTTAATCAGCTAACCTCACTCGGCGGCTTCTCACTATCGACCACACTAGTACTAGTTGTTAATATACCCAATCCTTGCCATAATTTTGCTTCCTGTTCGGCATTATACACGTCTGGTTTGGAAGCAAAGGGGTTTTCCAAAAGACTGTAGTCAACAGGACAATTTTGGAGATATTCAGACGAGCAATCAGATAGTTTTATTGGGGGCTTCCACCTAAATTTTTTTAAATAATGGATTTAAAACAATAATACACAAGTATTTTAGATGCAATATAAAAAAGTAGTTTCGAATGAAAGCCATAGGTGTTTACTTCATTTAATAATACGTTAGTTTATACTTCTCAAGTTAATTGTAATTAACCTAGAGACCGTTTCAGTACGATTTAGCTCATGCTACGATTGGACATTAAACGATAGTACTGCAGCTATAAGCACGTATTATATATATATATATATATATATATATATATATATATATATATATATATATAACTGCATTATCAATTTTACACATAACTAGCCGAAACATACACGTAAGATGTGCTGTAGGGTATAAAAGAAAGTTCTTCTTCGTCCATTGTGCAGTGTGTGATGAGTGACTGTAAATTCAGGTGCCAACCAGTTTGCCGAAAGATAAAATAAATAACCTAAAGATCAAGAATAGAAGCGAACGGTAATATCAAAGAAACTATTGTATAAGAAACAGGTGTACATCACCTACAAAACAAAAGTTCAGTGAATTTATTTGTTTTGTTTATGTGAACACATAAATATTGGTACAAAGAGGCACCGAATACATATGCGCCACACAAGTCACTTAATTTGTGTGTGGGCTAAAATTTCTTGGTATAAGCCGGAAATAATCGCAGGCTGTATAAAGATATAGATAGGGGGGTACTTAGTGCGCCAAGTTACCACTGCTAACCGTTAAAATGGGTGGTGGTTTGAGACAAATTAGAATGTCAGACCAAAATGATGAAAATTGTTGTAACTTTAGTGAATGGATACAGAAATGGATATAAAAGTGAGGATTTTGTTCGCACACTTAACAGCAACCAGACTTGTCCCACTTATTAGTCCGCCTGGAGCCTTTCTGGGGTTACTGCCAGTCCAAGAAGCACTGGACAACGGAGCGGACATCATGAAACGTTCATACGGTCTTCTTTCGGGATACTGATAAATTCTGGGCGACATGGCTCAGAATCGATCACAATGGCGTCGGTGTATTCACTTTTTGTCTTCCCTTAAACAATGAGATTAAAATCGTTTCATATCTTTCTTTCTACTAAATAATTCTTTCTTCCTGTACTATATCATTATACAAAACTTTTATACATTACTACCATTGAAGTTACTACTTCTATGAATTCGGCGTTCATCTTGTTGTGCTAATGAGGTATGGCAACTTGGACCGATGTACATATGTGCCTGGTCCTACGTCATAACTGACAACGAATTCAAGATAGCCATCAGCAACAGGTCGCAGGCCTTTCACGATCTACTCAATGGAGAGGAAACCAATATGGAGAACAACTGGAAGGGGATCAGGGAGGCAATCACTTCAACATGTCATGAGGTTCTGGGCCACAAGAAGCATCATCACAAGGAATGGATCACTGTTGACACACTGGGTAAAAATCAAAAAAGGAAGAACAAGAAGGCAGCAGAGAAAGCTATGGCACAAGCTGAATACACAGAAGTAAACAAGGAAATGGAGAGGAACATCAGAACATACGAACGTAAATATGTGGAAGATCTAGCAATGACGGCAAAAAAAGACTACAAGAGAAGGAAACATGAGACAATTGTATGATACAACAAAGAAGCGCGCTGGAAATTATCGTAAACCAGAACGATCATTAAAAAACAAGGAAGACAAAGTAACCACCAACTTTGAAGAACAGCGAAACAGGCAAGTAGAGCACTTCGAGGAGCTCTTGAATCGACCAAACCCACTGTATCCACCCAACACCGAAGCAGAGCCCACGGACCTCCCAATCGATGTCGGCCCACCAACAACTGAAGAGGTCAGCATGGCCATCAGACAAGTTAAGAGTGGCAAAGCAGCTGGACCAGACAACATTCCAGCAGAGGCACTAAAAGCAGATGTAGGAGTAACTGTAAGGATACTCCATATTCTCTTCAGCAAGACTTCAGATAAAGAACAAGTACCAAAAGACGGAAAGGACACCTGATCAAAATACCAAAGAAAGGCAATCTCAGCAGGTGTGATAACTACAGGGGCATCACTCTTCTCTCAATACCGGGAAAAGTCTTTTAAACAGAATAAAGGACTCCTTAGACGCCCAACTTCGAGACCAACAGGCTGAATTCCATAAGGATCGGTCGTCTACAGATCGAATCGCAACACTACGGATCATTGTGAAACAATCAATTGGATGAAATTCATCACTCTTCATCAACTTCATTGACTACAAAAAAGTATTTGACAGTGTGGACAGAACAACACTATGGAAGCTTCTTCGACAGTCAATATCATACGAATTCCTATGATGGATTAAACTGCAAAATCGTGCATGGAGGACAGTTGACAAAGTCGTTTGAAGTAAAGGCCAGTGCCAGGCAAGGTTGCTCACTCACACCCTTTCTCTTTCTCCTGGTGATCGACTGGATCATGAAGACGTCAACGTCTGAGGGGAAGCATAGGATACTGTGGATAGCTAGGATGCAGCTGGACGACCAAGACCTCGCTGATGATCTGGCTCTTCTATCGCACATATAACAACAAATGCAGGAGAAGACCAGTACAGCTGCAGATGCTCCAGCAGTAGGTCTCAACATACACAAAGGGAAAAGCAAGATTCTCCGACACAACACAGCATGCTCCAATCGAATCACACTTGATGGAGAAGATTTGGAAGATGTAAAAACCCTTACATATCTGGGCAGGATCATTGATGAACTCGGTGGATCTGATGCAGATGTGAAGGCACGGGTCGGTAAGTCAAGAGCAGCATATCTACAACTGAAGAATATCTGGAACTCGAAAAACTGTCAATCAACACCAAAGTCAGAATTTTCAATACAAAAGTCAAAACAGTTTTACCGTCTACTGGGGCGGAAACCTGGAGAACTACGAAAGCCATCATCCAGAAGATACAAGTGTTTATTAACAGCTGTCTACGCAAAATACTTCGGATCCGTTGACCAGACACTATCAGCAACAACCTATTGTGGGAGAGAACAAACCAGATCCCAGAGGAGGAAGAAATCAGGAAGAAGTGCTGGAAGTGGATAGGACGCACATTGAAGAAATCACCCAACTGTGTCACAAGACAAGCTCTCACTCGGAATCCTCAAGGCCGAAGGAAAAGAGGAAGACCAAAGAACACATTACGCCGGGAAATGGAGACAGACATGAGAAAAATGATCAAGAATTGGATAGAACTGGGAAGGAAGGCCCAGGACAGAGTGTGTTGGAGAATGCTGGTCGGCGGCCTATGCTCCATTGGAAGTAACAGGCGTAAGCAAGTAAGTCAATAATGGGATATACATTTTATGCTACTAAGAGGTAAGTTGTGTAAATGATTACGAAATATTTTCTTAGTTATTCGGAAGTAACAGGTGTAAGCAATTAGTCAACAACTACCTAGGGTGGATGTTACATATAAGCCTTGACCAGCTGGTTGCTAAACTTTCGGACAATGAGAAAAGGTGGAAACATGTATATTAACAACAACAATAAACTAGTGGCCAAAGCTAAAATGCGGAGAAACTGAGCGACTCTTAAGATAACCTTAGAGAGCAGAAAAAGCTTTAAAGAGAAAGATTTTAATGCCTTTAGTCGTTAGAACATGACTCGTAGTTCTGACGATTAACTTGAGGTTTTTTTCGATTGGGAATTAAGAGGGCTTGAAAGGAGTAACTCATATGGATTATCATCTATATAACATCCATTATAGTTCCTTTTTAGAGCAATTGTTCCCCCAGTCCACTTTTTATTATACCCCATTGAAAACCGTTGTCATGAGTTTTGAGGACACCATTGCAATATTGATACTATTACAACGATAAAATCACTATTTTTCAGTTAGTTTTGAACGCATGAAATGGAATCGGCTTTTTTGGAAATTAAGCGTACTTCAGACCATAGACCATACATCTGTGCATATAATTCCCAACCAGATGAAATCTCTATTGTTTTGTTGAAGACATGAATACAATTGAGAATCGTGTTGTTTTTTTAACATATGAATGGTATGACCTATTTATTCATTCCTAGTTAGTATTATATTGATCATTTTTCAGAAAGAATGAAAGTAGACTGATTTATTTTGTCAACCAATTAGTGTCTTCGAAAATGTCAATCACACCAATGAATTGGAAATCCCCAGGGACTGCTGAGAGAAAATATTGTATGACATCATTTTCCGAAACCGAGAAAGCTGTATTCCTGGTCAGGAAAAGTTCCCATAAATAGTTAATCGTGATTCTGTAGCGGAAAATATACTCTAGATGTAAGACAGAATTAACAAAAGCCAGCAAGACTATAATCTATTGACCAACCAACCAGATTTATGATGACAGGTCTTAGATTTCAGAGCGAAATTCTTCACCCGTTTGTGAAAATAGCGTTTTGGCATTTTAGCTTATGCCAATTCGTGTTGAAAACCGTAATTCTAATTCCTAATCCTAACCACTAACTGTAAGTTATAATCCTTATACTTCACACAGGTTTAAAACCTTCATTTAGCCCTAGTATATATAAGGGCTACATATGTAGGCAACTTCAGCGTCGCTCAAAGGTCGCCCATAAATTATGGTCTCACCAAACTAATCTCAAACTAGGTATATTACATGTGTCCCACCATTGATCTTGTAAGGCTAATAGAGAAAATTCCCGTCCTACATACCTCTTAAACTACACCAGGCCCTCGACCTTGAACTGTTGAAGGACGTGCTGAGTCGTCCACTTAAGTTAACAAATGGACTGAAATAATAATATACAACGAGTGGACAATGAATGACCATAAAAGGAGAAATTGGAGAAGCGGGACAACAAGTAATAGTTTAAAACAGTTTCAGCACTGTCAAATGGAAAAAAAGAGTCCTTTCGATATAGTTTCTTGCATCGTCCAGTAAGTATGAACAATTCAATCCCTGGATTTTTACCTCTATCGCACTTACTGCTCGTCACTCTGAAAAAGACAGAGATTCTCGATTCCAGGGGTTCGGTTATTTGAACCTTTTCCAACAGTTCACTGTCTCTTCTTAGACGGGGCTAGCTGCTTATAGATAGCACTTCAATCTAAGACGAGCAAACACCGTATACCAAATCAAAAAGATCTAAGCATTGATATGACTCAAAACTCAACACACTCACCGTAGGGCTCTAAAACCCGTGACGGCCATCGTATGGTAGTTTGAGGTAGTTTTTAACTTTTGACAAACGATGACTCCTAAATCTCTGTGTCCGGACAACAGGTACAAATGTTATATACGAACGAATACTAGATGAATGTTAACTGCTCTGAATTGTTCATGGACTGTCATTAAATATATTTCTATTGAGTAATAATTAAGTAACTAGATTATGTATACATACATATTCCCTTTTATCAAAATCGTTCATTTGACCTATTGGCTATTGTTAACGTATTCACAGTTTATTCGTCTTAGTATACCACACACATACCCAATTTTGGATCGGTCTTGTATAATTATTACTTCTCATTCTATGGTGTGATACGGTCTACTTTGCCTGTATAAAAACCACGTATATCTGAAATATACGGTTCACATATCGGAGACCGATATTTGTGTTCTGGACTGGACGGACTGAGTTGGGCGAGAAGCTACTATACAGAGGACCAATAAGGCTCAGAGTTGACTCAACATTGCTAGTGCTGGTCAACGCATCACTGGTCCAGCACAGAGACAACGTCATGGATGTCGGTATTCTAATTGGCGATTTTGTCAATAACAATCGTAATACAGTCGAAAGCAGTTATCATTGACTGCCAAATTCCAGACCATTAAGATAATCTCTCTAGGTTAGTTTAAAGGTCTGAACTATTGCCACCACTTTTTATAGCTCTTTATCAGAAGCCTTACTGAAGTTAATGTAGGCTGCATATATGGGCTACCTTCGATCTTTAAGAACGCATCAGATTTCATGGGTTGCCAATATGTTTGTGAGACATGAACAACTCATTATAAATCCATACTACTTTCAAGAAAGGATCATGTTTTCGCTTAAATACTTGAATAATCCCTTCCTTAATCTCTAAAATTTCAACAACTACCGTGGTTAAGCTTACAATTCGATAACCCTCAAGTTTATCTCGTACCTATTTTAAAAACAGAACTTACTATGCCGTTCTTCTACTTCGGGTTACAGATAAATTAAAAAGTATGCTTAAGGGATCGGCGATAACATTTACCGATTCCTCTAGCGACTTAACATGCGTATTATCTGGTCCCAAGGATTTTCCTATATCGAGCTTATTTAGCGGACCGAAGACATAGGGTTCGTTAATGGTCATGGTGTCCAGAGTGTGTAGTTGGGGTTGTATGAACTTACGACTACCTGGCCGTAGCTATGATCGTCCTCCACTATTGTCTCCCTATGATGCTGAGAGGCCGCATCTTATCTTAGTCCTTCGATTTATGTACGAGTATGAGCTCTCCTTTATATAATCTTCCAGACTTGCGGAAGACCGCGACACAAATATTTCAAGTTCCTCAACATTTAAATTCTGTCGCATCAGTATCCAGTATCCTAAATTTCTCCTACATTCTATTCCTCTTACATGGATGGGTGCAAATATTCTTATTTAATCATGAAATGTATCTTCGCGAACTTCTTTGTGTAGTCCAATGGATGTACCGTGCACTACATTTATGTAAAAATTTCCGAATATCTTCCAGGCCGTTTCAGTGGGCGATTCTGATCATGTTGTCTACTTTACTGAGAATTCTGAATGCATGATTTCTCGTACATTTTCTTCCTAAACGTTTGGTATGACTTGGGGTGACACATCGTTGTTGACGACGATATGGAAATCAGAAATTAGAATCTCATGAGACTCTCACATTTGTCTGTAATACGATGGAGTTTTGTGGCAACCTCTATTTATTGGGCCATTTTGAAATTTAACAAGGATGATTATGAGTTCGAGTCGTACCTAATTGCTTCCTTCATAATTTGCACTAGGGGTCATGTGTAACCCTGCCAACCAGTTTCTGTTCCTAACAATCTTCCAAATCCGCGGACCCCAGATTTTTCCAGTCTACTGTAGGTGCATTAAGGTCTCCTAAGAATAAACGTCGACTACTTGACGACCAAGTGTCGAAACCGTCTAGTAAGACCTCATTCATCTCACAGTTGGGACTGTGGTAGACCGAACCAATTAGCAGTAATCTGCGTTCCAGTCGAAACAATTAATGAAAAAGGACATAGTATATGGTCTACTAGGAATTTATTTATCATTAACAAGCAAGTAACATTTCTAATTTACATGTGTGTTTGATTTTGAATACATGAAATACATTTTAATGTGCTTTACGTGAATAAGAATTTCACACACTAAATACTTAAATTTTGATCCTTTATTAAAAATTCGGTACTCAGTATCTGTTTAAAACAAATAAACTACCAACTGTAGTAATTTAAAGCTACTTCAGGTCTCAATCCACGGTAAAGGATGAGGGTTGGGCATGGGGTCAGCATTGCCAACCCGTAGAAAACAACCTTGCTATAAACAGGCTAACCAGAATAAACAAATCAAATCATTTAAACTCTGCCCTCAGAGTTGAAGGAGGAATTATGATGCCTCATGTTGAAAACCGATATTTCTCAGTAGTCACAAGGCCGATACGTTTTCTAACAACCAGAGCAACAATTAGTATAGGTACATGGAATGTCCGGACAATGTGAGAGACCGGAAGGATTAACCAAATATCTGGGGAAATGAGGAGATAAGACTTGAATGTGTTCGAAATCAGTGAAACCCGTTGGACCCAAGCTGGGCAGAAAATGATAGGTTCAGGAGAGATGCTACTGTGCCGTGGTCACGAAGAAGAAAATGCTTCGCACACTCACGGAGTTGCTTTGATGCTGTCCAAAGGAATATGTAAAGCACTTATAGGATGAGAATCTCGTAGACCCAGGATCATCAAAACATCTTTCAAAACAAATGAGGGAATCACAATGAATGTTATCCAACGTTATGCACCCACCAATGATAGCAACGACAACGATAAAGATCAGTTTTACGAGAGGCTGTAATCTCATAGCAAAGTGCTCATGAAAAGGAGCACTGGAGCAGACAATCAGAAATACGTAGAAGAGCTAGCAACGACAGTGGAAGAGCTGCAACAGAAGAAAATATCAGACAACTATATGACACAACGAAGAAACCGACAGGGAAATATAGTAAACGAGAGAGACCAGTCTAGGACAAAGAAGGAAAGCCAATCACTGAAACTGAAGAACAGATGAATAGATGGGTAGAACACTTTAAGGAGCTCTTGAATCGGCTAGTTCCATTAAATCCACCGGACATTGAAGCAGCGCCTATAGACCTTTTTATAGATGTCACCCCACCAACGGTCGAGGAAATCGGGATAGCCATCAGACAAATGAATAGTGGGGAAGCAGCAGGACCTGACAATATACCAGCTGAAGCACTGAAGTCAGACATAGAAGCAACTGCAAACATGTTACAAGTCCTATACATGAAGATTTGGAAGGAGGAACAAGTGCCAACGAACTGGAGAGAAGGATACCTCATCAAGATACCAAAGAAAGGAGATCTAAGCAAATGTGGAAACTACAGAGGTATCACACTACTATGGGTACCAGGAAACGTTTTCTAAAGAGTATTGCTGAACTGGATGAAAGATTCAGTGGACACCGTACTTCGAGATCAACAGACCGAATTCCTTAAGGATCGGTTGTGCACAGACTGAATCACGACACAATGGATCATTGTTGAACAATCAACTAAATGAAACTCAATTGTATGAACGAAGAATATTCTTTTCAATAATTTCTCATCAGGTTCTACAATTATAAATCGAAATTAATAATCTATAAAATTGGCCAGATTTAAGGCAGAGTTCATCATTTGGAATTTGTAATATGTTAATTGAGAATTGTTGTTTGTTACGTAAAACCAATTAAGATCGCTTATAAACTGATTAAAGTTAACACTTTATATTAAACAACCTCAACATTAACGATCTTAATTGGTTTTATATAACAAAAACCAATTCTCAACTAAATCTGGCCAATTTTACGGATTATTAATTTGGATTTATAATTGTAGAACCTGATGAGAAATTATTGAAAAGAATATTCTTCGCTCATACAATTGTGTTTTAATATAAATGAAACTCGTCACTATACATCAGATTCTTTGACTACGAGAAAGTGTTTGACAACGTGGAAAGGATAACCTTATGGAACCTACTTTGACACTATAATGTACCTGAGAAAATCGTCAACATCATACGGAATTCGTACGACGGACTACACTGCAAAGTGGTGCGTGAAAGCTAGCTGATAGGCGCATTGCTAGTAAGGATGCTCTACGACGTTCAACATGAGCCTTTATGCCGGCAACGTGCGTGTGTCGAAAAACCGAAGATTTGTGATTGTTTAATTTTGACAAGTGAATACTTTTGGATTCTTATTCCCTGGTACTCTTCACATTTAACTTGACCACATGTAAATTTGCAAGCTATTGGTATGCTTTTGAATGTCAATTGGTTACTAATCAGGTTTTTAATCATCTAGTGATTTTCTCTGTTCTAAACACGTTCATCTTATAGGGATTAACTAGGTTTTACATAACAGTTGATCGAAAATAGATGGATGAATTTTGGAATTCAATGTTAGTGATATCTTTTTTCTCCTATTAATTGTTTTTTTTCCGAAAATTACAATGTGATATGTCACT